TATATAAACTTCAGAATCAGTTTGTTGGTATTCACAACATAACTAACTGGGATTTTTATTGGGATTGCGTTGAATATGCAGATCAAGTTGGGAGGACTGAGATCTTGACGATATTGAGTCTTCCCTGTGAACGTGGAATATCTCTGCATTTAGTTAGTTTTTTAATTTCAGTCAACAGAGTTTTAAAGTTTTCCTCGTATACATATTATACATATTTTATTAGATTTATACCTAAGTATTTTATTTGGGTGTTAATATAAATGGTATTGTGTTTTCAATTTTAAATTTCATTTGTTCATTGCTGGCATATATGAAAGTGATTGACTTTTATATATTAACATTGTTTACTGTAACCTTGTTGTAACACTTATTAATTCCAGGTTTTTTTGATTGTTTCCTTGTATTTTCTGCGTAGATGATCATGTCATCTGTGAACAAAGGAATTTTTATTTCTTCCTTCTCAATTAGTATAATTTTACTTCCTTTTCTTGTGTTACTGCATTAGTTAGGACTTCCAGTATAATGTTGAGAAAGAGTAGTGAGAGGAAACATCTTTATTTTTGCTCCTAGTGGGGAAGCTTCTAGTTTCTCACCATTAAATATGGTGTAAGCTTCAGGTCTTTGTAAATGATCTATCAAGTTGAAGCTCTCTTCTATTCCTAGTTCAGTGAGAGTTTCTAGTATGAATGAGTGTTGAATTTTGTCAAATGCTTTTTCTGCATCTATTGATATGACCGTGTAATTTTTCTTTAACCTCTTAATGTGGTGGATTATGTTAATTGATTTTTGAATGTGGAACCAGCCTTGTGTACCTGAGATAAATTCCTTGGTTGTGGTGTATAATTCTTTCTATACTTACTGGATTCAATTTGCCAATATTTTATGTAGGGTTTTTACATCCATGTTAATGAGAGCTGTTGGTCTGTAGTTTTCTTTTCTTGTAATGTCTTTGTCTAGTTTTGATATTAGGGTATTAGGGCAGTTGTATCCTCAAAGAATGAATTAAAAAATATTCCCTCTGTTTCTATCTTCTGAAAGAAATTGATATATAGAGAGAGATTTTGTAGAGAAATGGTATAATTTCTTCCTTAAATGTTTCATAAAATTTACCAGTGAAGGACCTGGGGCTGGTGCTTCCCATTTTGGAAGGTTATTATTTATTGATTCAATTTTTAAATAGACATAGCCTTATTGAGATTGTCTATTTCTATTTTTTATACCATAAAACTATCATAAGGAACAAGGACAACAATAAAACAGTGTTGGACAAAAATTGAAAGTATTAACCCCCAACAAACCCCTACTATAGGAAGGAAAATAACCCTACAAGGAAAGTCTGAGATGTAAGAAGGAGGTGACAAAGAGAAAAAAAGAAAACATGAGGGAAATCTTTATAAACATGGGTTATGAAAAGAAAATATCAAATTTGGATAATAAACTAGGTCTGAAATAATAAAATAACATTGAAGATGGCAAACTGGTGAATATTATTAAGTGTTTTAAGGATAGAGGCACTGATTATCTTTTTTTTTTTTAAAGATTTTATTTATTTATTTATTTGTCAGAGAGAGAGAGAGAGAGAGAGAGAGAGAGAGCGAGCGCCAGCGGGAGAACACAAGCAGGCAGAGCTGCAGGCCGAGGCAGAGGCAGAGAGAGAAGCAGGCTCCCCACTGAGCAAGGAGCCCGATGCGGGACTCGATCCCAGGACCCAGGGATCATGACCCGAGCTGAAGGCAGCGGCTTAACCAACTGAAGACTAAGCATAATGTTGGATGTTCAATGGATAGAGAGAGAGTGCCTAACTTTAAAAACTGTTATAGCTGTTCAATGGATAGAGAGAGAGTACATAACTTTAAAAACTTCAGAGGAGAAATGAAATTAAGAAGTCCTACTTATTCCAAAAGAAGGAGGGAACAGATCAAAGAATGGAGAAGATGTTGAAAATGAGGCAGGACTAGATCATTGCAAGGTGTTTTATGCTATATTAACCAGAGTTCTCAAGATAAACAGAACCAATGTGATATGTAGAGAAATTGGCATTTATTCGAAGGAATTGGCTCAATGATAATAGAGGTTGGGAAGTCTAAAATCTGCAGTGTTAGTTGACAGGTTTGAGAGCCAGAAGAGTTGATGGTGCAAATAAAGTCTGAAGGCAGTCTGCTGGAGAATTGCCTTTACTCAAGGATGTTGCACTGTTTGTTTTATTTGGGCCATCAACTAATTAGATAAGGCCCACCCACATTATGGAGATCATTCTTAGTCTCAGTTCACTGATTTACATTTGAATCTTATCCAAAAATACCCTCTGAGTTGATATATAAAATTAATCACACATCTGACAAGAGTAAAGAGTTTGGATTTTATTTTAACTGAAGTAGGAAGCCATTGGAAGACTTTGAAGAGAATGATGAAATCTGATTTATACATCTAAAGATTTCTCCAGGTGTTGGATGGAAAGCTGGTACTAGAAGAACGTGAGCAGAAGCATGGTAAGTAGGTGAGAGCAGTACAAAACGTGAGAAGAGCCCAGATTCATGGTATATTTTGGAGGTAATCTTTGATTGACTTGCTGAAAGACTGGATGTGGGGAGTGAAGGAGAGAATGCAGGCCAGGTTCATCCCTAGGTTTGGGACCAAATCAACTGAGTGTACATTATTACCATGAAGTAATCTTCATTGAGAAATCTTCATGGAGAAAACTGGAGAGAGAAGTTGGGTGAATAACAGGTATGGGGTAGGCATATTAAATTTGAGATGTCAACCAGATAACCAAGTAAAGATATACAATAGGTACATGTAGACAAGAGTCTGAAGTTCAGAGGTGAGAACAGAATTCGGGGTGTTAATATTAGAGTTATCAGAATATAGATTGTAAATTCTTGTAAGATAACTTAGAGTGAATATTGATACAGAAGAGGCTAACCAGGTTTTTTCTTTTTCCCCTCCAAATTCAATCTCCACCCTTCTTGCCCATCTTTTGGCTCTGGAAGCTGCAAAGACTTCAACAAAGCCCAGTACCTACTGCCTTCTGGGCGAATTGGGTCAATGGAGAACCCAGCTAGAGTTTGAAGGAATGAGAGGGTCACAGTCATCTAGCAACTAGTAGTTGGTAGAAGTCCTTTGACATTATGAAGGGCATCAAAAACATCATTGCAGGCTGTGACAGTTGACTGAGAACTGCAGCAGGTGGAAACTGTAGTCCAAAGCTCGTGACTTAAATGTATTTGAGGGGCACAGAAGAGTAATTGACATTGTTCAGTGCCAATAGGGCATCTTTATAGGGACCCGCACTTTATAGAGATTTTATAAGACTAATTCAGTAGTGCTGCAATTTCTAGGCCCCATATCTCCTGCATTTTGTAGGGGTGATGTGTATCTGTTTACATTTTTATTTCTTACCCTGGACTGAGAGAGGTCCTCATAAATATATCCGTGCTGGTATAGACTGAGCAGACTTCACCATGCCTGGCTCACATGTGGTAAATACACATGTTAGTTAATTCCTGGAATGTCTTTCACTCTGTGGTTAGAATCTCAATTCTTATTTTTTCTTTTGTTTCAACATATTTTGTTATGAAAATATATTATACAAAAATATGTTGGACAGTCTTCTAGTTTTTAAATAACATTATTGAAATTGTAGGGTCAAAGACAACATGAATGAACCTGAAGGATAGTGTGCTAAGTGAGATAAGCTAGCTGGACAGAGAAGGACACATACTGAACGGTATCATGTATTTGTGGAATACATGATACCAAAAAGTTCAAGCTTATTAGAAGAAAAGTAAGTAGAAAGGTGGTTGCCAAGGGCTGGGCGGTAGGAGAATTGGGAGATATTTGATAAAAGGTACAAACTTTCAATTATAATATGAATAAAGTCTGAGGATCTAATGTACAGTATGGTGACTATAGTTGATAATACTGTATTGTATACTTAAATTTTGCTAACAGAGTGGCTCTTAGGGTTCTCATTACACACACATAGAGACACACACAAAGTAACTATGTGAGATGATGAATGAGTTAATTAACTTGATTGTGGGACATATTTCACAATGCATACCTGTATCAAAATCACCATGTTATACATTTTAAATATATATATATATATATATATATATATATATATATATATATAAAATCTTGTCAGTTAACCTCATTAAGCTGGAAAAAGATGAACTCACTCATTTTAGAGATTAAAAAACAAAGGCTCAGAGAAACTGAGATTTACCCAAGATCACACAGTTAGTGGTTGTATTTCTTATTTTTTGAAGAGCCAATCTTGCTATTTCATATTCTACATTTCTTATACTGCTGTTGCAAAACTGATAATATTTTAAAAATCTCATTCAAATGCAATTTAGTGAGTTTTCCTCTAACATATATACTTCTGGATAGTGATAAGACTCCAGATTCATCCTTCTCAAAACTCCTGGTGATTTCTAATTACAAAATAATGTATAAAGCTTGCTCCTTTTTTTTAAGAAAAAAAATTTAAAATTTCTTTTAATTTTTATTTTTAATTAAATAAAAATTTAAAATTCCATATTTAAGAAAAAGAAAAGAGGCAGCCATTCAGTTATCTTAAATGCATTTATTTTGTTAGGAAAATGATAAAATATCTTAGGTTCATGAAGTTTACAAACAGCTCCTTATGTTGAAAGTGTAACCAATGTTTCTATTTTATTTATATGAATGTTAATTTATTTCTTGAAGCTTTTTAACATTTACTGAGTAATTTTCTTTAACAGAGGCTGAAAATGTTAAAATGGAAATTGAACAATAGATTTATTAAGTAAAATAAGTTACCTAAATATTCTAAATGGAATAACTATGTCATTAAAGTATGAATGTTCTGGCAAAGAGCAATACATTTTTAAATTATGTCAAGACGTATGCTTTCAGAAGAGCACTTCTTCCAGGCCGGTAGAGCTTTTGAGGGCTCACAGCCACGTGTAGCACTCAGAAGGGAAAAAGTACAGCAGACAGGACCAGATTTTCAACCTATTTCCTTCTACCCCTTTCAGATAACTCTTGACATCCTGGTTGCAGTTGCCCAAGCAAACTATCCATTAACTGGGTCTATATTTCTAAGGGAGAGAAAGGTCTGTAATTTATGATCAAAGTCAATGGCTCTAAACTGAGGTTCCTTGTATTTTCTGGTCATCTTGGCACCCAGGTATGTGATGAGTTCACATCTCTCCACAAACTGCTCCAACTTCTTCTTATACTTCCTTCTTGAATATTCAGAACTTTGGGGATTGAAGGCTGTAGAAAATGTCAGAGAAATGAATGTTTTCTGTTAGGTTAGTGAATCACTAAATTGAAAAGAAAGAGAACTTTGTGTGTGAGATTGTTGCACAGCTATCGCTGAGAAGATATCCAAATCCCAAGTAAGATTTAAGGATTATTCCATTTTAGATCATAAATGCCTCTATTCACCGTCCTCTATGGCATGGATTATTGAAAGCCGATTGTATTACTTGTAGTCCTTGCTTTAAAGGCTAGAAACTCAAATCTGATATTTTCAGTAAAGTATTCGCGTCAACATGGAAACACACACACTAATGCAGGCAGCTGACTCAGCTCAACGATTCTATATATTTACGGCATACCCTACAAATAATGTAAAATTAGTTCTGAGTAGCATCTCATTAAAGAGGACATACCTTTTAGGTGAAATGCTATATATAGTAGTGCAGATCTCTTTACACTCAAGAAGGGGAATTTGGGCTTTAAGCACCCTGCGGCATTCATTGCTTTAATCAGTGAGGTTGCGATACCCTGTAGGCGGCACAATGTAGACCACAGGTAAATGTGAGTTTGGCTTCTTCTCTTAGTGGCAAATAGATAAAGAGGTTATTCTTTGGCGTCGGGGATGGGGCTTATAAGGTGGTTCTATGACCACTTAACCAACGTGGAAAGGAACACAAAGTACTTTTGATTAGAAAGACTGAAAATTACAAATTGGCTGAATGGCAGGAGGCTGATAGAGACACGGGCCTCATTACACAATTCTTTCTGTTTTTACATTTGACATTTTCCATAACAAAATATTAAAGAAGAAGGAAGGGGTCCCTAGGCTTCGAGTTGCCCATTTTCTACTTCCAGAACTGGCCAGACTGTCTCTGCTGTCAGGGCCCTTGACCACCTGGCAAGAAATTCCAGAGACCACCGTTGTCAGTCACCACAGCAAAGATTCTGGAGCCCTGTGCAGGCAAAGAGGAGGCGAGGCCCTCCTGATGAAACGTGGCCTTTTATGAAAATACTCCTCTCTGGTGAGTTTCATCTTGGCTTTCAATATTAAACCAGACTGAAGGCTGAAGGCTTACCATCTAGGCAAGCCAAAAAAAACAAAAAAAAAAAAGGAAGTGGTTAAAAGTTTCTGAGAAAGGTATGAAATTGTGCCCCAGGCATTAATTTTATAGAAAAATTTAAAAGAGCTTTTAAAATAGTGGTTGATTACAACTAAGTTTTATTATCTTTAAAAAGATTTATATTTAGATAAATAAAATGTGACTCGAGTAGCTTTGGGGGGCATTTGCCCCTAGATTTGCGGCAAAATATGACTTGGGTGGTTCAGCTGCGGTGGTGTACTGCAACTCAACACTTCGGAGCAGTGAGCAAAGCTCTCAGAGACTGAATCTGCGCCTTTCAAATTTAAAAAGTTTTACAGACCCTGAAATTCAAAGTAAGAATCTAACCACAAGTCAGATGTAAACAATTTCATGACAATCTCCCCTCTCTCTGCTTTGTTGCAGATATCTGGAAATGTGCTAGAGAAGCAGGGGGTTTTCTCATTTCTTATTTTCCCAGCCACCCAAAACCAAAATGGGTTCAGAGGGGGATTTGCAGCTTCAAGTCAGAAAACTCTGCCTTGAATTTCAGTGTTACCAAAATAAAAATATATATATATATATTGTTAAAAAAAGAGATCATTGTACTCTACTAATGTATGTACACAGACAGTCACAGAACCGAACCTGTTCCAGATATCCAGGCAAAGGAAGGCTCGTGAGATGGATGGGCTCCTTCAACGGGGGCAGTTTGTAGGGAAGCTTCTGGCTCCAGTATTTCTCTGGCAACCTGAGAACACAGAGTTGGTCAGACGGATGCTCACAAGCACAGTCCCCGTGAGTACGCGGGAATGGGGATGTGTCAGAGGGGACTAAGAGCTGAAGTTCACCAGCTGGTTTTCTCCCCTGGAGGGAATGTGACAAGTGAGAAGATGGTGGCTGCTAGAGATCTGTAACCCGCCGCTTTGCCTGGTCCCCAGGGCTGCTCATTTATGCCTCACTTTTCTTGTTTTTCACGGCAACGATAGAAAATTTTGTTCTCTGCATCCTCCTGACTCCCAGGGAACCCTTGACACAGATGCCGTGTTATACAAACAGAAGCTCGTCCATGGCACTTCCTCAATGGCTCACCACAGGCAGAGCCGCACACACTTCCTCTTTCCATGGGGGGAGCTAACCTCCCCGTCAGAGCTGCCTCCACCCTCTCCCCCACTCGCCCCATTTGGACCCTCTCCCCCCAGCCTCTCTAGAGTAATTTCTCTCTCTCTCCCCTTTGGCATTTCCTTCTTTATTGGATCCATCCCAACCAATCCCCTGCATTTAAACGGGCTCCTAGCTTCCTCATTGAAAAAAAAAAGGAAAAAGAAAAACAACCTTCACTCCTTCCATTCTAAATCACTTCTAGCAACTAGTGTCTTTTCTTTTTGAACTTCTTCAAACCGTGAGCTTTAGTAGAAGTAACACACTACTGCACAAATTCCATCCCATCTGATCCACACAGTATTTTCAGAAATTTAGATCAGTCAAGAACATTAACAACAACAACAAAAAGAACGATTTGGTTTGAAAAGAAAAAGAAATCTGGTTTTCACCTTGTGAGACAGAAACATCTGGCATGACACTCTCCTTACTTGGGGACTGCTCCTTGGCCTGTCTGCCGCAGACCCCACCTAGCCCTGTGCTCTCACACCCAGCGGGCTTCCCCCAGAGGCTTCACCCTCTGTAGGTAACCTCTGTGTGTGTGATCTCTGGGCTTCTCGAGGTCTTCCTTTCCTCGGTGGCTACTGTAGTTACCTTCCACTCAGCTCACTCTACTGAAACCATTCCTGCCAGGTTCACCGATGACCTGTTACAACCGAACTCTGACACACTTTTCAGTTCTTCTCTTGCTTGACCTCTAAACTGTGTTTAAGCTTGTTGGCCACCACTGGGGGTGGGGGGTGGCGCAGGGCTACCGCCCCCAGCTCCCCGAGACCTTCTCTCTTCCTCCCTCCCAGAGCCTCCCCCACCTGGCTCTCCTTTGCCACTCTGTAGGTTCTTGATCATTCTCCTTGCAAGCTCTTCTCACATTTGTTGACATTTCTCAGAGCTTTGTCCTACGCCCACTGCTTTCCCCACACTAGTCTTCATGGGTGACCTCAGACGTGCTGTATTATTTTGGGCAGGATCATTCTAACAGCCTCAACACTGGTATTCCTGCCTCCAATCCATTATCAACACTCCAATGATAGTCTCTCCCCAAAGCAAATTTGAATATAATATGCAAAACCAGTTAATGTATTCATATTGCCTTTTGGGTCAAGTTCAAATACCTTATGGTGATTTTATCTGACCTTCACCCTCTGGCCCCGCTACCACCTCCAGCCTCACCTCTCAGTCCTTTTCCTTTCCTCTACATCATGCCTAGCCATGCTGAATTTCTTGCCGTCCTGGGATTCCCCTGGGCGAGGTTTTTTTGTAGATCTCTCTGCTTGGAACATGTCCCTCTTTCCCTTCATCTATCCAATTCCCACTCCTCACTCAGGCCTTACTCCAACAGACAATTCAGTCAGACTTTAGGGCTACATGTTACCAGAACCCCTGGCATTTCGCCACCCTAAGTGCCATTGCATTCTGTTGTAAACAGGTGTGTAAAGTCCAACATACCTCAGAGCCTCAGGCTTTGGAGCAGCAAGAACCACTGCTTAGTCATCATCACACATGCATGTATGTGTATGTATGCATGTTTGATGTTTGTGTGTATGTGTGCGTACGTGTGTCAATACACACAAATATATTTATGCACACACACACACCCCGGCATGGTGCATTGAACACAGAATATATTCAACATTGGTAACTTGGTGAGTAGTCTCACCTCAAAAATTTCTCAAGTTTTTCTCTAGTCTCACAAATATATATACGATCACGATACTCCAAAGCAAATTTAATGTTACCAGGTACAAGGGCCTCATATCTGAAAGATAAGAAGAAAAAGATTGTATAATTAATACATGGTACTATATAAATAAAGTGTCAAAAATGTTTCATTTTCTATCTATGCAACTCAAGGAAGAAATAAAACATTTTCCAGTTAAATAACAGTGACCTTCTGACCCAGATGTTAAGATTGTTAAGGGAACTGCCTATTCTGAGTAGAGATGCCACCCTCCCTTCCCCCGGGGGCAAGGACCTGCCTGTGGTTGCCGTCCTGATAGGTCACCGGACAGTAGCCCTGCAGCTCCGCACACTTGGGGAATCGGCTCTTCAGTTCTGACAGTGTCAGCCTTTTGGGGATCATGTCAGCAGGTGGGAGTGAATGAGGGGCTAACGGAGGCACATACAATTCTGGGTTCTCCAAAAATTTCTGCAGAAATGATTACAGCAATAAGACCATTCAAAACTGGAGTCCTCTGCCAGTCAAACACCCCGGGGGGCTCTCCTGCTACTCTCCATTTGCAGCAGCAACCCAGCTCCGAGGGGCTCTCTGCTCTGTAGTAGTAACTCCCTCCTGGCGGGAAGGACCATCCTTAGAGTGATGGTCCCAAGTGATGACATCCAAGGGCTCTCTCCTGATCTCTCTCACTATTTACTCACTCACTCACTCGCTAATTCACATGTGCAATATTTCTGGAGCTCGTGCTCTGTTGCCAGGCACTGGGGGCGCGCCCATCACTCGCTGGCCTGTCTTCTGGTTCTGCGGGACCAGGAGCTAGCTGGGGGCTGTTTGGCGGGGGAGTCCTCTCTCTAGCTTCAGTCTGCTCTCTGCACCACGGAGGGGGCAGACTGGATGCATGATCTCCAATGGCACCTCCAGTTTTAAAATTCTGTGAATGCCATTTATATATGCAGGAAGAAATAAATGTCTCCTTAATAAAGTGATTTAAAAAATTCTACCTCTTTAGAGGAGAGTAAAATGTTCAGAGGCATCTGATTAGTTTTCAGCCACGAACCTTTATCTTCACAAATTACAGACATCCTGTTAGAACAGACGTGTGTTCTGTTGCATTAAACAGAAATATACTGTACAGATATACAGGAACCCGAGTGATGGAAACATTTTAAAGCACAGGAGAGATATAGGTGAGATCTTGCTTCATTTCTCCTGTGACTTCCCTTCTGCACTCTAAGACCTTAATCCCCTCGATGCCCCACTGTGGGCTGAGTCCCTATGCTCAGCATCCCCTCCATTGGTGGGAATTGCCATTGGCCTTCCCTAGCTGTTCAGCTGAGGGCCCATCACCGACTCTGAACCTCCACTGTGTGCCAAAATATATCTTGGGGTGCAGCCTCAGGACTGGCCTCCAAGTTGCCTCATTGGTACTAACGTCATAGTTTCCAATTATGGGGCTCCTGGTCCGCGGTTCCTGGGTGCTCCCAGCTGCACCCACCCCTTCCTATTTTTTTTTTTTTTAAGATTATTTATTTATTTATTTGACAGCTAGAGATCACAGGTAGGCAGAGAGGCAGGCAGAGAGAGGGGAAGGGAAGCAGGCTCCCCACCAAGCAGAGGGCCCAACGTGGAGCTCAATCCCAGGACCCTGGGATCATGACCTGAGCTGAAGGCAGAGGCTTTAACCCACTGAGCCACCCAGGCGCCCCCACCCCTTCCTATCTGATGAATTCCAAGACAGGCATTTTCTTTCCCTGGTAAATATGTGGTGTTAGGAACAAACTTACATTCAGATTTTCCTGAGAACTCATTTTATAATAGTGCCCTCTGAACTCGGCGGCAAATTCCAATGAGTCAGTTACAGAGCAATCGACTAGTTCATGTGATTCTGCCAGGCTGATAGGGCAGAACTGTCCAAATTCGCCCAGGCGAGAAATCAGTTCTTGAGGTGTGATACATAACTTGTCAATGCACGCAGCTTTTCCTATCAGTAACAGAGTCACTGTTTTATGTTCATGTATATCTTTTCATAGAAAACACGGTGATTTTAGAAATTAAAATGATTTCAAGTACACACACACACACACACACACACGCGCGCGCGATACAAATGCATATACATTGTAAAATTTCAAACAACAGGAAAGTAAGTTTCTCCTCACACCTTCATCCTCTCAATTCATCATCCTTCCTGAGTAATCACTGTTGATTTGTATCTTTTTTGGACTTCTTTCTATACACTTGCATATACAAAATTATTTTTTGCATATAGCATGCTTTTGCCACTATGCTGTAAACATTATTCTGCAACTTCTATCAGTTATATGTTTTTTGACATCTTTCCGTGCCAGTTTATATGATTTACTTAATTCTTTTTTAACTGACACATAGTATTCCTTGTAAAAATATACATATAGTTCACTTAGCCATTTATCTGTTGATGAATGTTTTGGTTCTTTTTAGTTCTTATCTATTATAAATTATATATGTTATAAACCATATATATGTATGCGTATGTAAATACATGTTATATGCCTGTCTGCAGACCCACTTAGACACACATATAAATTTGCTACCTATTTTAAATTTTTCTATGAGGTAGATTTCAAAAAGTGCGAATAATTTGTGGACATTACATTACTGTGTTCAGATGGCACACGAGAGAAGGGAAGAAATGTTTTTCCAAAAGTGACTATGTTTACCCCAAAGAGTCTATTTAAAAAGAAGAGCCCAAGGTCCTTCACTGAATGGGTTTAAGAGTTTTCTCCCCAGTACTGCACCAGAATGGGGATTCTGAAGAAATAAGACATGCTACAGAAAATGAAAATTTTTTTCATACATCTTAGTTATAATGAGTAAATTTTGACCCTTAATATATTTTGTTATTGGTCCCTTTCACTATTGATAAGTTTTGTCTTTAAAAATTATTATTATGCCTAAGAAGGTCTTAAATTAACTATAAAATTATGAATCATAAATCAGAGCTTGTTATGTGACAATGTAAACATATAAAATTGATCCTCAAGCTTCCAGTAATGGTCTACAAGCCAAAGAATGGAGAGGATTGCTGGCAAAACTGGAGGCTAAGAGAAGGACATGGAACAGATTCTCCCCTAGAGACTTCAGGGAGAATATGGCCCTTGTAACACCTTGATTTTGAGCTTCGAGCCTCCAGAACCATGAGAGAACAATTTTCTCATGTTTAAGCCACCCAGTTTGTGGTACTTCCTCACAGCAGGCTTAGGAAACTAAGACAATTATGAAAGACCATGACTTTTGCCTTGTTGGCACTTTCTTGCCTTCACAGCTTGTTCATTTGCTAGAACGAAGGTGCCAGGTTGCAAAGGTCTATATGGGAAGGAACTGAAAGTGGTCTGTGCCCCACAGCCAGCAAGAAACTGAGGCCCTCAATCCAACATCCCTCAAGGAACGAAATCTTGTCAACAATACATGAATGAGTGTGATAGTAGGTTCCTTCCCAGTCGGGCTTTCAGATGAGGTAATAACCCTAGACAATACCTTGATTATGGTTGTGAGAGTTCCTGAAGCAGAGAATCCTGTTAAACTGTGACTCGATTCCTGACCCAGAGAAATTGTGTGTGTGTGTGTGTGTGTTATTTTAAGCTGCTAAGTTTTGATTTTTTTATGAATTTGCATAATTTGTTATGCAGCATAAACTAATATGCTCTCCCATCTGTTGTTTTTGACACAGATGAAAAAGATAAGAAGCCCTAATATTCCTTCCCTACAAAGAATATGACACTACTATAATATTGTAGTGCCATAATATTATTCTGGAGTGTTATAATGCACTGTACTATGGTATAATAATGTTTTATTATTAAAGTATGTAGTATTATATAGTGCTATAATATTATACTATATGGTACTACAGTATTACAATCCTAGCTATCCTTTAGCTCAGATGTGCTGAACCTCACCAATCCTGACAGGTTTAGTGACAGGGTAATTTAGAATCACATGGTTTAAGCCCTAAAGAGATAAAGATACTCAAATATCTCTTCTTTTGTATTCTTGATGACATCTGGCAGTGTCCATATATCTTAATCTGGAATGTGGCAGAATGAGGAGGAATCTCTTTAATCTTGTAGCCCTGACCTTGTTCCATCTCATTAGTCAGAGTAAACTTTGGCCTTCTGATAGGGAGAGGATCATTTGAATAGCATACAAGGAAGTGTGGAATGAAAACAAAACAAAACAAAAAGTCAAAACTAAATTTAAACAATCAGGTACAGGCTAGATTATTAGGTGGAAGTTAAAGCAGAAGATCAATAAAGTTGACTTCTGTTAGATTTAACTACTCAAGGCAGAGGCAAGTGTATATGGAATAATGAAGTGGATACCATGGCACCTCATCCAGATCCCTCTTCAGGGCTGATGCTGCCATCCCCCAGATGCTGGGAGCATCAGTGCTGATGGGTCTCACGTGTGCTGGGAATCGCCCATCTGTCACTGGTTAACCCCCTCCCAGAGTACCTGTGGTCAATGGCCGGCCAAGGGATATAGAGCCTGGCTCCTCCCCTCAGTTGGGAAATTCTGAAGGCCCATCCTAGCTGCAAGGCTTCCCTATTAGATCTGCTGAAGCTTTCCTTTCCATCATAGGGCAGGTCAGTTTCTCCCTCTGTCCAATTCTATGGTCCTCATTCCCCATAGGTGTATTTTCTGATTAACACACAGGAAGCCCAGTGAGTTTAAGTATCAGATTAACAATGAAGAATTTTTAGTCTAAGTATGTCCCATGCAATATTTGGGACATACTTAGACTAAAAACTTATTTGTTATTTATCTGAAATTCAAATTTAACTGGGCATCTTGTATTTTTGGTTGCTAAATGTGGCAACTCAAATCCTGAGAATACTTTCTGATAAAGTTTCTGCAGACAACTTTTGATCTTATTTCATCTTGAGTCTGTTTCCAGGGAACTCAGTCTATGGTAGGGAGGGTGAAATAGGGTCACAAAAAGATGAATGATGCATAAGTTTGCTTTCAAAGTCTGCCGTGGAGGGTTTTACAAGTGCGATGCTTTCCAAAACTTATTGCGAGTAGGATTCTAAAAACTCAATTCTTTCTTCCTTGTACTTGTCATGCCTTGTAATCCTCAGGTGAAAACAAATTCCCAGTCTGCAGACAAACAGGAACCAGAGATACTGGTTATACCCAAATAATGAAGCTAATCTAGATTTAATGATGCAGAATCCTCACGGAATTCTTCCTTGTATAAGATTCTCTTCGTCGCATTGCTCTCATACCTCATTATATCTTCTCTGTATTCCCATAGTTAAACAAAGTCACTCACCAGATGTCTGTGAGAACCCTACAGCTCAATTCTCTAGAGTCATCACTCTTTTTAGAGATATCATATATAGACAAATTTCCTTCTATTTTATGTATTTTTTAGAGAAAAGTCAAGAAACTTATAGGACTATATAATCAAACATTTTCTTTCATGGATTCCAAATATATATTAAAAGCCATTTAATGCTCAAGTTTAACTTTTTATAGGTTTGTTGCTGAATCTATAACTTTTGATAGATTCATTGCTGAATCTATAAAAATATACCATTATATTGGTATAATATAAATACCAAAAATGGCTTTAATTCTAGATTCATAAATAGAATTTTGCCAAGTGTCATTCCATAGCCCACTACTCTCCTACACTAGCACTTCTGAAACTTAGCTTCTTAAATGGCTTTCCAAACACTATAAACTCTTCTAGTCAGAGGTTATGCATTATTTTTATGTGCTAAGTTCACACAGGAGCTCAATAAATGATAGAGTAGTAGCAGTTGTTTATGAGATGAGAACAGTATAGATGCCCACAATAATTGGCTAGTACCAAATACTTCAAAGACTGAGTATGATTGTGGGAACAAATGTTGAAATTGAATGAATTATGGTAACATGAGTCAGGCAGGTGTAGACTTTCAATTAATGTTTTATTGTATTTTAATGTTTTCTTACCTGCTTTGATTCTTTCCAGGTATATCTGCATATGTTTATTCACCATATGAACTTTCTTAATGACTTCATTCCATACCCACCATTTGCTGTGAAATCCATCAATCACATACCAGTTCTGATGCTGTTCTTGATAATATTTCCTAATCTCATCAATGTTTTTGCGGTATTTTGAGTTTTTGACAGCTGTAATCTGTGTGCTGTTGTGCAGTGGGTAAGGCAAACTAATAGAGAAAGAGAGTGAATGGGAAAAGCTGTTAAAAATACACTTTTTTCTGGATGGTTAAAGTTTATTCCTTTATCGTTGCTTTCGTCATATACATTACCTTTGCTCCTTTTTATTTTCCAGGAACAATCTTTTGAAAATCTCCTTGGAAGGCACATCCAACTCAAAGATGACCATGGGGATGATTGACCTAGCTTCCAAGAGACTCACTTGATACTTAGTTACAGGGTAGCCGTCGATGACAACACTAACAAGGAGAAACGTGAAAATAATTCCAGATTTCTTTTCTCTCCTATCTTCCTGTCTTCTAGAACCAGTCTATCTCTTTAGGAATAGTCTCTTGCTCTTTATTTTGTAACTTGACTCATCTTCTTTGCACTTTGTACTCTTTATCTCTGTGTTTTTAACCTCACTCAGCCCAAGAGCCAGATGTAGGATGGCATCCGAAGAGACACAGCTCTGAAGTCATACACTTAGCATCACAGAGCTAGGCTTGGACAGAACTCGAGAGTAACACATGTAAGACTTTGAACATTGTGTTATTCAATTGGTGCTTTTATCCTAAGCATGAAACAGTGCAAAGAACACAGGCTTTAGAGGCAGACAGACACAGACTGAGACCTAGTTTGGCCTCTCTGAGTCTCAGTTTTCAGTAAAATGGGGGAAATGATACTTAACCCTGCGAGCTGTCTTAAAGACTTATAGATCTGGTATGTAAAGCAACTAGAATGGGATCTTGGCACAATAAATAGTATCTTAGTAAGAGATTCAGCAAATATGGGAAAACAACTGTGCTCTAAGCTTGCTTTTCTAGGAAAGTTCTGTGGGAAGGCTGGAGGGTGGCGATGGGAGGAGAGATGGGGAGTTGGTGAGAGGAGACCTGTGATATCTGGGCAAGAATCATCCCATCAGGACCCATCATGCTTCTGAGCAGAAGTGATAGAGAATTTTAGCTAGTCCAACAATCTGAGATAATGAGAGTATAACTATCAAACTGAGAGGCGGAATAAAGGGTGTCCACACTTTCTGAGAGTAATGGCCGCCAGAGTCAGGAAACTCCCTCTGGGGTGGGAGCGAGCTGGGCCTGCTGGCTCTGGTCATCAGGAAGGGCTGGTTTAGAGGAAGTCACTAGTTCTAAGCTCCAGGACAGAGAGGATTGTAAGTTAATGGAGTCAGGCAAACCTAATAGAGAATGTTATGGGAGCGCCATGGTTGTGTTTCGCAGTTTTCAAAATAGAGAGTAGCTCAATTTCTTCGCTTGTGAAGGGTCGCTTGAGTGACCCTCAAGATTAGAAAAATTCAGGATGACTGGGCAGTCACTGTCCTGGTATCAAGGTGAAATAAGACCGTTGCCTTCACAGAGATCCCTTGTGTGCAAAGCTGCATGCCAGGGAGGAGGTAAACTCAGTTTGCGGAATTCCCAGGACCTTCTCTAGGAGAAAAAAATCTGACACCCCAGAATCTGCTCTTCATGATGGAAATCAGAACTGTCCTAAGACTTGATTAAGGACTAGTGGCAGGGAAGGGCTAGAAGCCTTTTAATACAAACTTGAAGAAATCAGTGGGATTCTAGGTCAGTGACCTGGGCTCAAGGGCAGGGCGTTAGGCTGCACTGGCTTTTACACCTGGGTGTGACCAGTGGCTACGCTGGGTGAGTAATGGTTGAACAGAGGATTGTAAACTGAAGAGGGACCTCAGGTCCAAATGTAGCATTAAGGGAGGGGCACTGCTCCCTGTGCAGAGAGCTGGGCCAGTGAGAGACTGTGTCTCCATTAGACCAATACCTTCTAGGGGACAGGGGAAGGCCACTCTTTCAACATTCCATGGAGCAGTGAGGAGGTCTGCTAGACACTGGAAGTCACACTGGCCCCCTTTGTTGGCACTGTACACCCAGAGACTCTTGGACAGCACAGGGGTTGCTGCGGTGGGCAAGTGGCCAGCTTGCTATCCTGCCCTATGAGTGTTCAAGCCAAGTTGCAGCCTGACTGAAAATTAAAATATGTAGCCACATAGGGGCCTAAGGTTTGAGAAGTAGATCACACCCTTTACAAGAGCTTTAAACCTTGTTTAAGGTGAGGGTTTTAAATTCTGGCAGTAATTCTTGAAAGAAGTCTTTAACTCACCCCCCCCACCGCCCCAAGCCCCACTTACCCTGCAGTGTTACACACACTCCCCATCAGGCAGATCTCTAAGGCCTGAATAGCCAGTTCGTCGGGCGCCGTCATTCCTTTATGCAGATGCCAGTTCAGCATGAGCGCCAGCTCTGTGTCTGGTTGGCTGTTTAAGACATAGCGCAGAGCTTCCCCTATGGACAGACGCTTTAAGCCATATTCGCTTGAAAGTTTTTGGGCCACTGGAAAACATTAACACTTTAAACTTACTCCATTTCGCAGATTCATTAGTTAACCTTATTTCTAACTCTGGCTAACTGACATCCACGGTGAGCTAACTAATGTTCACATTCCCCAAAGAAATTTTGATAATCAGAATTGTTACATTTTATTGTGTTAATACTGTCCAAGGTCAATCATTATTAGTACTCCAAGTATGTGGCTGATGGATCTGGTAATGAGCCAGCTCTGTGGGTTTTTCTCATAACCAAACTGACACTTAAGTGTCTTCTTCCTTCTGCACCAGGTAGCAGCAATTTTGAGAAATTTACATGGCATCCTATGTGTACCATTAATATTTGGTATTTATTTTTAAGTTCTAATAACAATAAAAACTTCCATAGCTTGATATCTTATTGATATCAATAATATATTGTTATATAATATATAAACTTTCATAGCTTGATATCTTATTAAAAATTCACCTCTATTTCAACAAATGAGAAATCAAACCAGTATGGTATTGACACAAAAACAGACACATTGATCAATAGAACAGAATAGAGAGCCCAGAAATAAATCTACATGTATATGGTAAATTAATTTATGACAAAGGAGACAAGAATACACAATGGGGATAAGATAGTCTCTTCAATAAATGGTGTTGTGAAACCTGGACAGTTACATGCAAAAGAATAAAACTGTATCAGGAATATAATTTGGTGCAACAAACAGCACACTGTTTGAAAACAGTGTGGAGGTTCCTCAAGAAGTTAAAAATAGGGCGCCTGGGTGGCTCAGTGGGTTAAGCCGCTGCCTTCGGCTCAGGTCATGATCTCAGGGTCCTGGGATCAAGTCCCACATCGGGCTCTCTGCTCGGCAGGGAGTCTGCTTCCTCCTTCTCTCTCTGCCTGCCTCTCTGCCTACTTGTGATCTCTGTCTGTCAAATAAATAAATAAAATCTTAAAAAAAAAAAGAAGTTAAAAATAGAAATACCATAAAATTAAGTAATCCCAGTGCTGAATATTTACCCAAAGAAAACAAAAACACTAATTTGAAAAGATATACACACCCTTGTGTTTACTGCAGCATTATTTACAATAGCCAAGATATGGAATCAAACAATTGTCTGTTGACAGATGAGTGGAAAAAGAGGATTTAATACATGTGTATGCATGCACGCACGCACGCATATGCGTGCACACACACACACGCGTGCGCACACACACACACACACACACACACAAAACGGAATACTACTCAGCCATAAAAAGAATAAGATCTTGCTATTTTCGACAACATGGATGGACCCAGAGGGTATTGTACTAATTTAAATAAGTCAGAAAGAGAGAGACAAATACTATTATGATTTCGCTTATATGTGGAATCTAAACAAACAAATGAACAAACGAACCAAAAACAGAAGACTCGTAAAGACAGAGAACAAACTGATGGTTGCGGAGCGGGGAGGTGGAGGGATGGATGGGTGAAATAGGTGAGGGAGATTAAGAGGCACACAAAACAGCAAATGAGAAATCAGGTTGTTTTATCTACATTTTTACCTTTTGCTCTAGTTGAGGGATCTTATTTTAAAGGTCAATGGATTTGTTTTTTTTTAAATGTTTGTGAACATTTAAAAAAATTTTTTTTTAGAGAGAGTGCATGCGCTAGTGGCGGGAGTGGGGGAGAGAGCCAGAGGAGCAGGGAGAGATTCTCTAACAGGCTCCATGACCAGCGCAGAGCCAGCTGCAGGGCTTAATCTCATGACCCTGAGATCAGGACCTGAGCTGATATCAAGAACTGGACGCTTGACCAAATGAGCCACCCAGGAACCCTTACATTTGTGAATGTTTAGAATATGACTATAAAAGTCTCTTCCACCATGTTAAGAGGTTTAAATGGGCAAAACAAACTTTTTGAACTGGAACAAAACTCCCCTTTATTATTCCTGGTGACAAATTTATCGTTGACCTCATCTCTCCCCTTCATTCTCTATTCAGTCCTTAAGTCCTATTGTTTTCCTTTGAAATATCTCCTGTATCTGTCCTTTCCATTTTATTCTCATTGCGACCAACCGTTGCTCATGTTGTTGTCATGTCATCCTGAAATACTACAACCAACCTTTTGATGGACTATTGGCCTTAAAAAAAACAAAACACAGTACAAAGTTATACAAAATTCAAACATTATGGGGATATAGTTTACCCAGTGCCTTTTTCAACAATGATTATTGTTGACAGTGGATTTTTACTCTTTAAACTATTAGCACAATAAATTATATTTCAATTTTTAAAAATATATTAAAATCTTCTATATAATTTTTATGTTAGTATAATATTAATATACTGTTATTTGACTCTATTTGTAAGTGAGATAATTATTTGACTCTATTTGTAATTTGTAATATCTTTTCTTGTATTATTTTGTTAGGTTTTAATATCAGAGTTATGCTAATTTAAAAATCAATTTGTATTCTTTATAACTTTTTGGATAAATGGACAATAATTTAGCCCATATAAATATTTGATTATATTTAGTGAGGACTATACTCCTTAATTAAAAAAAAACACTGGAAATAAATTGGGAAACTCATTGTCTTTTTTTCCCCTGCTGTGAAAAAGCTTACAAAAACACAGGAATTATCTCTTGAGTTTTTTGATTCTTTGGAAGTTTGATATAATTATTCTCTAAAACTACTGATTGATCCTGGACTGTTTTGGAATGGGATTATATTTTTGAATTATTTCTCTTTAATAGTTATTATCCTATTTAGGTTTTCTATCTCTTTTTGAGTGAATTTTGATAGTTGGCTTCCTGGAGAAGTGCCAGTAGCTTTTAGGAGATTCTTTTATACTTAAGAATAACAAAGGCCACAGCAATAAGAGAAAAGATAAAAACCTATGATCATTTCAATAGATGCAGAAAAAACATTTAACAAAGTACAACATCCATTTATGATAAAAATCCCTCAATAAAGTAGGTTTAGAGGGAACATACCTCAACATAATAAAGTTTTTATATGAAAAACCTACATCATACTCAATGGGGACAAACCATTCAGGGGAGAGCTTTTCCCGTGAAGTCAAGAGTAAGACAAGGATGTCCACTCTCACCACATTTTAAAAAGATTTTTTATTTATTCATTTGAGAGAGAGAGAGAGAGCAGCAAGAACATGAGCAGGGGGAGTGTCAGAGGGAGAAAGAAAAGCAGACTCCCACCTGAGAAGGGTGCCTGACTTGGGGCTCAATCCCAGGATCCCAGGATGAGACCTGAGCAGAAGGCAGACCCTTAACAAACTGAGCCACCCAGGTGCCCCCACTCTCACCACTTTTATTCAACATAGTACTAGAAGTCCTAGCCATAGCAATCATACAATAAATAGAAAGGAATAAAAGGCATCCAAACTGGTAAGGAAGAAGAAAAACTTCACTATTTACAGATGACATGATACTTATTATACATAGAAAACCATGAAGACTCCACCAAAGAACTCTTAGAACTGATAAATGAATTCAGTAAGGATACAAAATCAATGTACAGAAATCTGTATTATTTCTGTATACTAATAATGAAGCAGCAGAAAGAGAAATTAAGAAAATCCCATTTACAATTACACCAAAAATAGTACCATATCAAGGAATAAACTTATCCAAAGAGGTGAAAGACCTGCAGTCTGAAAACTACAGAACACTGATGAAGGAAATTGAAGATGACACAAACGGAAAGATATTTCATGCTCATGGATTGGAAGAACAAATATTGTTAAAATGTCTCTACCAGCCAAAACAGATTTAATGCACTCTCTATCAAAATACCAACAGGATGTTTCACAGAACTAGAACAAGCAATCCTGAAATTTGTATAGAACCACAAAAGATCCCCAATAGCCAAAGTAATCTTTAAAAAGAAAAACAAAACTGGAGGCATCATAATTCCAGACTCCAAGTTTTATTACAAAGTTCTGGTAACCAAAACAATATGGTACTGGCATGAAAACAACACAGATCAATGAAACAGAATAGGAAACCCAGAAATAAACTCACATTAAATAGTCAATTAATCTTTGACAAAGCAGGAAGGAATACGCAATGGGAAAAAGACAATCTCTTCAACAAGTGATGTTGGGAAGACTGGGCAGCTACATTTAAAAGAATGAAACTGGACCCCTTTCTTACACCATACACAAAAATAAAATGGATTAAGGACCTAAATGTGAGACCTAAAACCATAAAAATCCTGGAAGAGAGCACAGATAATAATTTCTCTGACATCGACCCTAGGAACATTTTTGTATTTATGCCTCCAGAGGCAAAGGAAACAAAAGGAAAAATAAACTATTGGGACTGTATCAAAATAAAAAGCTTCTGCATAGCAAAGGAAGCAACCAACAAAACTAAAAGACAACTGATGTGGGTTTTTCATATAAAAAATAAATGGATACACTTGATCTTAGCCAAAAGCCTGAGAAGTGATTGATAGATGAATGGATAAAGAAGAGGTGGTACACACACACACATGCACGCATATACACACACACACAAACACACACACTGGAATATTACTCAAGTCATAAAAAGGGACAACATCTTGCCATTTGTAACAACATGGATGGATCTACAGAGTATAATGCTAAGCAAAGTAAGCCAGTCAGAAAAAGACAAATACTACATGATTTCACTCATATGGGGAATTCAAGAAACAAAACAAACAAAAGAAAAAAGAAAAAAAGACACAAGCCAAAAGATATACTCTTAAGTATGGAGAACAGATGGTTTCCAGAGGAAAGGTTGGTGGGGGGACAGGTGAAACAGGTAAAGGGGACTAAGAGTACATTTATCTTGATGAGCACTGAGTAATGCATGGAATTATTAATCACTGTTATCGTACACTTGAAATGAATGTAACACTGTACGATAACTACATTGGGATGAAAACAACAACAAAAACAGAGGCAAAAACACACCCTTACCTGTAGTTTTCCCAGATTTTGGAGGTCCCAGAATCATAATCCTAATGGGCACAGTAGGCTTAGGTTTGGGTTGGCGGATATATTTGATTGGGTTCTTCATAAATTTTTCTTTTGTTTCCTTACTAGATAAAAAATAAATATACTGACGATGGATTACAGCATGGACTGGATTCTCTGAAGTTTCAACTGGTTTGATGGTCTCTCCTTCACTTAGCTGCAGTACATACACAATTGAATTCAACAGGTTTAAGTTATTCAGCATTTCCCCTAAATACATGTGAACAAATTTGTAAAATAAAATCTTTCTTACACTACATAAGAAAACTAATTGTAGCCAAATATTATTATTAAAGACTATACTTATTCTTTATACATAAAGAATAAACTATTTTACACCCACATACGGCTGATGAAATCTCAACTAGCTTTCAGCTTATGACAATTTTAGTTCTCTTACTTCCTTTATAATGTATTTAGTGTGTTTTTGCCAAATACTGGAAAGTTGTTTGTGTATATTCATGTGCCAGTTTAACCTCACAAACAGGTCCATTCCTAAGGGGGTGTTATGGATGAAAATGTGTTCCCTCCACTCCATAGGTTGAAACCCTAATCCCCAAAGTGACTGTGTTTGGAGATAGGGCCCTTAAAGAGGTAATAAGGTTGAGATCGTAAGAGTGGGGCCCTATCCAGTAAGACTGGTGTCCTTATATGAAGAGGAAGAGACACCAGGTGTGCATAAGCATGGAGGAAAGGTCATGTGTGGACATAGTGAGAAAGTGATCATCTGCAAGCCAGGAAGAGAGGTCTCACCAGAAAACCATCCCTGCTGACACTTAGATCTTGGATTTCCAGCCTTGGAACTGTGAGAAAATAAATCTCTGTTGTTTGAACCACCGTGTCTGTGGTACTTTGTTCTTGCAGCCTGAGTACACTACTACAGGCGGGGTCCTGGGTTATCTTTAGGGGAATACTGGTAGGACAGATCCCACAGGCTTCTTATCCACATTTTATATAGGCAAATCCTACTCACATAAACATCAAGAGCAGTCAAAAAGGGGAAAAAGACTTAAAAGGCTGTTTAAGGTCTAGGTGTGGAATGGAGTGGGAGGAATAGTCTCACATATTTGCATTAGGTCAAGATGAGAACTGGGTAATTGATCTTAGGTTTGGATATCTTTTTTTTTTTTTTTTTTTTAGAGCATCAGATGGCCAAGTATCAGCCCATACTTGACAAAGGAGGTGTGAAGCAGTATGTTTCAACATTGCTCCGTTACCAGAGCTACACCAAGACAGTTGTCACAGGTCAATGGTATTGTCTACATCAACATTTTTGGGCTGGAGTAAATGCTAGGTATAAGAAGAAACACAGGGGTGGCATGGGCATGTCTGCTGTATGTCTTGTATTTGGTTAAAACAAAAAAAGCTGAAAGTCTAATGATTCCATTTCAAATTCTCAAACTGAGAGTCCTTACGGTAGTTTCTGTTGTTACTCAAAATACCTAGCATGTATCCTTTCTCCTCTGTAGATCAGACTATACATAGTGTCATCAAATCAGAAATATTGAACTTGGCTCAGTTAGTTAAGGGGCTGACTTTAGTTCAGGTCATGATCTCAGGGTCCTGGAATCAAGACCCACATCAGGCTCCCTCCTGAGCTGGAGGGTGGGAGGCTCTGTTTCTCCCTCTTTCTGCCCCTCCCCACCACTCATGCTCTCTCTTTCACTCTCTCCAAATAAATAAAATCTTTAAAAAAAAAAAACTGTCAGGAACCCAGAAAGATTCAAAAAACCCTCAAAAATGCTTATTTAAATGCTTAAACCCTTCTTATGACCATGCGCTCCTTTCTCCACAAGGCATTTTTGTGTGGTCCTGTTATGTTTGGACATAAGTCCTTTCTCCCTAAATACGGTTCTGACTTTGTCTGCTTCCTCCCCTTTCTTTCTTGTCTCAGAGAGAAGGGCATGACTATCTTTCAAAAGCTTTCTAGGTGATTCTAATACATGCTTAACTCTATCTAATTCTCTATGGAGGGCACTATATTCCAGCATGGTATTTGAAAATGTTTCTCTTGACATCCTATGGCTAAGATAAAGAAGATGGCACAATTAAGTAGAACTGAAATTGATTATGTCAATATCAACCAAGAAGGAGGTTTCAAGTAAATGCACAAGGCTCCATTTTGGATCCCATCTTCCAAAATACTTTTTATCCGTGACCAATACCAGTAATACATATTAATAACAGCTGTAAGTTTTACTGAGCACTTGCAAAAAGCCAAACACTGTTGTAAGCACTTTACAATAATTAACTCAATTAATCATTGTAACAATATTGTAAGGTAGGGACTCTTCTTATTCCCATTATGCAAATGAAATGACTCTGAGAGGTTAAGTAATTTTGTCCAAGGTCATTCATCTAATAAGTAGTGGTTTTGAACCTAGGCAGTCTGGCTCCAGAGGCCATAATCTTTTCCACTGTGCTGTATCATCGATGGAAATAAAAAGTTACATGGGGTCACTATCACATGACGTTTTTTGATTTTCCTTATAACACTTAATATTATCTCTCAAGAACATATTTGTTTGTTTACTTATTTATTGCCTATCCTCCCTCCCAATCCAACTAGAATATAAGCTGGAAGACAAAAGAAACATTGTCCGTTTTGTTCACTACAGTATTCCCAGGGACTAGATCAGTGACTAGCATATTCTTGGTTGAGATTTGTTGAAAATCATCCCACGTTCGAGGTTACTGAATTCTACCTGGATTAAATCTGTCCGCATCGCATAAAAATATGGTCCTTAGAAATGCTTGTTATGAACATCAATGCCACATTTTGTGTTGTGTCTCACACTTTCCAGAGGACTTTATAATCATGTATTTGATCACAGTGGCCTGGTGGCATGATTCTTTCATCTTAAAGGTAAGGAACCAAGCAGGGTCTTAGAATAGAACTAGGTCTTTGTACAGGGTCTGAGACCCTGGGTCCAGTAAAGAATCAAAGAGATTAAATGACTTACCTAAAATTAGGTGGCAAATTAGTACCAGGGCTCAGCCCTTTAGATGTGTAATTTGAAAATATTTCTATTACCCATCTTCAGCTACAAAGTTAAAACCAAGTTGGAATTGTGTTATCTCTACAGAAGTAGATGGAATAAATTAAACCCTTTGATTACGTTCCATACTTCAGAAAGATAAAACAATCACATATTTTTATAGCAAGGAAAGAGTACTGTATAATGTTTACGATTTTTGAAATTGTCCTCTGTCTTCTTCTTAGACATACTTAAAAAATTAAAAGAAAGAACATGGCTTTTAGGCGCATTTGCTGCATTACCTTTACAGGGTCCCAGTAGCCAAACGCGCTTATATACTTATAGGTATAGCTGAGCATTTTCTGGGCGAGGTGTGATGTTATCGGATAACATTTTTCAAAAATGCTCTCACGATTCTCCACCAGTGGTTGCAGTTTCATATTCATATTATATTGTACAATGTGGATTTTCCGAGCTCCATTGATGAGAATTATTGGTATCAAAAGCTTCTCAAATTCATCCTGATGAAAAAAAGTAATAAAATCAAATATTTTTAATGGGACGAAGTCCAGTCACAGCACATAGACGTTGCTGGTGACAGAAAGCTTTGGTCAAAAAAAAACCAAATACTTTTCAGTTTCTAAGTGGCTGCATATTGGCAGCTAAAAAAATTTTTTTTTAGGATTTTATTTATTTATTTGACAGAGAGAGAGAGGGAACACAAGCAGGGGGAGTGGGAGAGGGAGAAGCAGGCTGAGTAGGCAGCCCGATGCGGGGCTCGATCCCAGGACCCTGGGATCATGATCTGGGCTGAAGGCAGACACTTAATGATTAAGCCACCCAGGTCCCCGGCAGCTAAAACTTTTGACTCTATGTGGCTTCCATGTTGCCCTTGATTTATTAATTTGTTTTAATAATTGCAAGGGGTGCTGGCAAAAGGGAAGCAAACCCTAAAACACACATTTCTTTCGAAATGTTAAAAAGAAACCAAGACATAAACCAAATATTTGTTCCATTCTCAAATGTTACATTTTGAATTGTGAACAGTAAAGGAAGAGTAATAACCTGGATTGCTTGTAAATTACTCATATCTGCTTCAAATTTTTCTCCCAGTTCGCCTCGCAGGCGCTCAAGTGCCTCGATCTCCTGTTCTTCGTCTTCCTCACTCATTACTTCCTCGTCTTTTGGAAATTCATCTTCCAGGATGTTCTCAATATCATCTTCATCTTCTTCAGGCTCTTCTTCACTGAAATCTTCATCTTCTTTGCCAACCTAAGGAAGGACATGTTCTCTTTTACTACATATATAAAATACGCAACAAATGACTGTGCTAACTAATCCTTTGGAATATTCTGTGTCACTGGCTATTGGTTGGTATGGCATGGTAACATTCCTTTAGTGACACAGTAAAACATTAAATATCTGGCACCCAGAAATTTAATCCTTTCAAGACTCTGACACCATACTGATCCCATAGTAAATACATAAACAAGATATTAAATGTTCCTTATGCCTATGGCTGTGATAAAGTTGAGTTTGTTTATTTAGAGTTTTTATCTTGATTCCAGTTAATTTACATAGGTTATATGAGGTTCCGGTGTACAATACACTGATTCAACAATTCCATATATCACCTGGTGCTCAACACAGGTGTGCTCCTTAGTTCCCATTATCTGATTAGCCCATTCCCCCCACCCACCTCCAAAGCTGGTAACCATCAGTTTGTTCTCATAATCAAGAGTCTGGTTCTTCTTCTTCTTCCCCTCACCTCCCCCGTGGCTGATACCTTCACTGCTGTCGAGGTGGGGGGCTCACGAGTTCTTGGTGGGGCACTGGCTTCCTCTTCCCCTTCACAGGCTTCTCGTGCTCAGGATGGCACCGGCTCTGCAAATGGCAGCCACGTGCAGGTTGGGGTGGTACTTGTCTCTTGCGGCGCGTGCCTGATGCTGCTGATGGTGGCCCACACGTTCTAGCTAATGGTGGTCCACAGGTAGGAGGTGGTGCATTTTCACTGGCCAGAGCTCTGCTTCCTGACCACAAATGTCAGCTTTTTGTAGTGGGCAGGTGGCTTCACACCCACAGGCTTGCAGTGAAGCAGCCCGTTTGGTGGAAGGAGTTGTGAACCTTCAGGTTATTGGGCTGGGTGCTGTGTGTCTGCTTGTTCCTCTCCATCAGGAAGCTAGAGCGGTTCCACAGGACCATCCGTCACAGGTGGGTGGATAGGGCGCCTCTCACTACAGCCATGGAAGTCGAAAAGCAAATCTTATCCACATTCCTTTGTAGGTATCTTTTCTTCATTTTAGAAATGCTTAAAATCTCTTATAATGAGCATCTTAAATTTCATGAGGAGGGACGCCTGGGTGGCTCAGTGGGTTAAAAGCCTCTGCCTTCAGCTCGGGTCATGATCCCAGGTCCTGGGATCGAGCCCCGCATTGGGCTCTCTGCTTAGCGGGGAGCCTGCTTCCTCCTCTCTCTCTCTCTCTCTCTCCACCTGCCTCTGTGCCTACTTGTGATCTCTGTCAAATAAATAAATAAAAATAAAATCTTTAAAAAAAATTTCATGAGGAAGTAGCTAATGTACATCTCTTTTAATTTGTTCTAGTTAGTATTCATTGAGCTCTTTGAACTTGAAGATCCTCTGCTTTCTTCAATATTTTGAACATTTCTTTCAATATTTTTAAGATTATTTCCTCCTTTATTTTTTCTCCTTTCATTTTTTTTTTTTTTTTTTTGGAATGCATATTGGATGTTGATCCTCCTAGATTGCCACCACATATCATCAGTTTTTTCTTTTCTTTCATGTTTTCTATCTCTTATATTTTTGTTCTATATTTGAGAAACTTTGACTTTTCTAATCTTTTTATTCAATTTTTAACTAATTTACTTTATATATTTTAGCTTCTATGAACTCCTTTTTCTCTGATTTTTCAAAACTTCCTGTTTTTGTTTTCTGGATAAAAGTTCTTGAATTTTCTGAGAAAGATTGATTTTTTTTAATGTTTAATAAGGTTTTCTGAACTGCCTATTCATTTTAGGCTCAATTGTTCTGTTTGCTCATCTTGTTGCTCCTTAGTATTGATAATCTTTCTTAAGTATATGGTAATCCTTGGTTTTTCATTCATTTTTATGAATGGGGGACCAAGCTGGTTAATTGGTCTGCAAGCTCTGGGTATGTGAGCAGGGCAGGTTGTATTGTGCTTCCATTTGAATGAGCTATGAGAATGAGACGAGACAGGCAGGATAGATCTTGTTCCAAATGATGGGAGGTACCAACCAACATTCCATGGCACCTATCATCTTCAAGATGGATTATTTAATAACTTTAGAAATTATTTTCCTTTTCTTCTTCATGGGGGCAAATGTCATTGTTAATAAAGAGCTGTGGTGGCCACCTTAAATAATTTTTGTGCAATTAACTTTCCTGGACTTTCTAGATAATCAAATTATAGGCACATAAGGAGTTCCTTACAGAACTTTTCAACATGTATGTTTTTTTTTCTTATTATATTTCTTTTGCTAGTTCCTTAAATACAATGTTGAATTTTTTAAAGGTTAATATCCTAAAAATATCCACAGCTAATTCTTCTTAGGAAAAAAGTTTTTATTTTTTCATAAATGGCAATTTGATCTTTTGAAACAGTGTTGCTTTTTTCTTTTTCTGATGTATTACACTTTTTAGGCCTTATGTTAGTTGATACATATTCTAAAATTCTAGGTCTCAGAGACCTGCCTCCGGTATGAAGGAAGAAGTTAATTTAGTCTCTAATAGGTAACCACCATAAACCATGAACAGTACACCTCCCCTGCAAACACACACACACACACACACACACACACACACACACACACACTTTATCTCACTCATTTAAGGGGCTCGAGAGTAAACAAAGGCAGATTTTGGGAACAGTAAAAATTAGAAGGGAGCATTTGGTTTAGGATGAGTTCTCTAATTTTGTGCATTTGCTCAGAGGGCAACCTCTGTTACAGTGGTGCTATCATAGGGTGATTAAAACTCTGATAGGGAGCTTGGTGTCTTTCCAGCTGGGGCAACCAGGGGAAGGAGACACAACCAGGGCACTGGAGAGTGAGCGTAAACTTCAGATTTGAGAGAACCAGATAAGGAAACAACATGTTTAGTTTGTAAAGACTGTCCGTGTCTCTGAATCAGGCACATATGGTCTGTTTGAGAACAGTATCAATTGAACTGCCACCATTGCCCGCATGACAGACTTTGCAGGTTTAGTCTTACCAAGTAAATTGCCTGCTAAAACAAAAACACCAGCCTTCTCTGGAGGTATATAACAGAATTCAGAATCTCCAGAACATAACATTCATAATTCTAGGATATAATCCAAAATTACTCAAAATATAAAGGATCATGAGACATAAACCATTCTCATAAGAAAAGATATTATTAAATACCCACTCTGGGTATTAGAGTTACCAAACAAGAACTTTAAAGCAGTTGTTATCTCTATGACTAATGAAGAAAAGGAAAATACATGAAAAGATAGGAAATCCCAGGAGGGGAATAAAAAATACAAAAACAAATCAAATGGAAATTTTAGAACAAAAAAATATAGTATTTGAAATTATAAGATAACAGATGGGTTTAACAGACTGGAGATGACAGAGGGAAGGACCAGTGAATTTGAAAATAAATCAAAGGAAATTATCAAAGTTAAAGAAGAGAGAGAAAAAGACTGAAAAAGTTAATAGCCCCAAGATCATGTGGAACGATAGTGAATGATCTATGTGGAATTGATTTTCAGAAGGAGACAGAGAGCAAACAGAGCAGAAAAGATATTTGAAGAAATAATGTCCAAAGTTCTCCCAATTTAGCAAAAGACTTAAAGAAGCTTAGTGAAACCCAAACTAGATAAAATGAACAAAATGACATGCAGGCATATCATAAACTATTGAAAAGCAAAGATACAGAGAAAATCATGAAAACAGTTGAGAAAAATTATACAAGAAAACAATTGAAATGACCATATTCTTCTCATCCCTCTGGTTCCCCACAACCACAGAATGAAGAGCTACAGAAATGGTAAGTATCTGGATAAACGTAAAGGACTTATTTTTCCTCTTAAAAATTTTAAGATACATGTGACTGTTTAAAACAAAAACTGAAATTTTTTTCTTATGGAGTTTATAATAAATTTGGCTGTAAAACAAGTAACTAGAGCATAAAGGGTGTTAGTGGAGCAGGGTTGGATGTAAATGGACTTCTATAGTCATAGGCTTCTATTAATTACATGGAATGATATTGACTCAAAGAGTGGGAAAAGCTAAGTGTGTATAGAGCAACCACTATAAAACAGTACATAGAGGTGTAAACTTAAAAGCCAATAGATAAATAAAATGGATTTCTTAAGTACATTTAAACAGTCTCAGAGATGGCTGGAAAGGGAAAAGAGAAAATAAAGAAGACAAACAGAAAACAAAATTCACGGTCTCATAGAAATAGGACTAGATTTGGGGTAAGCGCTCTAGTAACTTTCTGTCAGCAGGGGAAGGGAAGGGCAAGGCTGGTTTGTGGAAGTTTATGCCAGAAGAGTGATGGAGATTATACTCAGAATGCTTAAAACTAGGGAAGAAATGAGATAGGAAGAAATGGAAAGAGGAGAAGAGCAAGACTTGTCCGAGTTCCAAGGCTTCCCAATACGGACGCACGTTAAGCAGACACTAGATTCCCTTACTATACCTGGTTGCCTTCTAAATGTGGATTTTTGGAGACACTATTCCAAACCATTTGTTTTTCAAACCTTGAAACTCAATCCAAGGGAGATGAATCGGGGTCGGGGAAGGGGGCGGTGGTCGGGAATGTGTGAAACAGGTGATGAGGATTAAGGAGCGCACTTGCCATGAGCACTGGGTGTTTTATGCAAGGGTTCAATCACTATATTGTACACTTAAAACTAATATTACACTGTATGTCAACTAACTGGAATTTAAGTAAAAGCTTTAAAAAAAAAAAACTCAGTCCCCAACCTGTACACCCCATACACACCTTTGCTTTCCGTTCCATCCCAAAGTGCTCTCTGCATATAGACCTTTGGGCTTATATACTCTACCTTCTCCCTAGAAGGCCTCAAGGATGGTCTTGGGCTGGTGCTTGGTCCTGAACCTTGTTTTAACCTCATTTGAACTCTGACTTTGGCTTCCCCTTAGTACTTAGGGTATTTATCTGTATTAACTATTCACCTGGATGTGGTCCCTCACGATTCTGCTCATTTACAGTCTGGCTCCCTGTCCTTGCTCTTTCTGGCTTTTACCTGTTGGTAGCTACTCACAATTCAGTCAAAGAGACTGAGGCACCGGAGAAGGAGCCAGTGAACAGGAAGAGAGCCAGGATTCTGGAGCGAGGACCAGGACCAGGAGTAGAAGGGAGGCCTCCGAGGAACTGGAAAGTATGGAAACTAAATCTCTATACAAAGTGGCTGAATTACAGATTATTCTTGAGTCACACTTGGAGACTAAAATTCCACAAGATGGCGACATTTTCCTACAAAATTAATGCGAGCAACTCCCCTACCCCCCCCCACTGAAGTAATTTCTAACGTTAAAAATGTATTATCTGCTGCAAAAAATTCAGACAGTGAGGGCAATGACTTTTGTTAAGGAGGAGAAGACAAACCTGGGAAGGGCTTTATTAGCATATGGTTTCCCAATTAGTTGTCATGTCAAGGTGAGTCATGGAGCTGCACATTCTATACAAAAGGCAAATGGTGAAAAGGCCTCTGGTTCTGTTCATGAAAGTAGGTTCCAAGGTCTATGTAGAGTCAGAACGGATTTGAGTCAGGGTGTCCCATTAACTGATTATGGCAATCTCATTGGGTGAGGCTTGAGATGTTACACGTGTTTAGTTTTTCTTTGTCTGAGGCAGTAGCAGGACATACCATAAAATTCTCATCAAAGAAGTTAAGAAAATCCATACACATTATTCATCTTTGATTCATTAAAAATTTCAAGAACTTTCTTCCCAATGTCAGTTTGTATAAATTAATTGTATGGGGATATATAGCCAATTTTGTCAACGAGTAAGTCTTAGGAGAGCTAACTTACAAAAACCTACTTAATTGATTAAGATAGAATATCAAATTTTTGAATGAAAATTAGTAAAAAAAAAATCCCATCATTCTAATATTAACAGATAGAAAAATTATAAATTAAGGACATTTAAAATTTATCCTGAAAACGGATTCTCTTAAGAAAAAGCAGGTTTCCTGGGGTCCTGGGATCGAGCCCCGCATCGGGCTCTCTGCTCAGCAGGGAGCCTGCTTCCCCTTCTCTCTCTGCCTGCCTCTCTGCCTACTTGTGATCTCTCTCTCTCTCTGCCAAATAAAAAATAAAATGAGCATAGCTGTTGCAAGTAAAACAATCACTTAAAAAGTATTAGTCTGTTTGAAAATGTATATATATATGTATATATATAATGACATGTATATGTTACTCTGAAAGTTTATATAATATATAGTTATATAAATACACCTTCCACACACTCACATATGTAATTGCTTGACTTCCTTTGTTCTTACAGCTCTCTCAACATGTCTATTAATATAATTTAAGCTATTGTTCTTAAAAACAAGGTATACATCTTTCCTGCATAAAAGAATTATAGTCTAGGTTTTCATGTCTTTTATATAAATTATCTCGGCTATATGACTTTTTAAAAAAGATTTTATTTTTTTGACAGAGACAGTGAGAGAGGAAACACAAGTAGGGACAGTGGGAGGGGGAGAGGTGGACTCCCCACTGGGCAGGGAGCCAGATGTGGGGCTCGGTCCTGGGACCCTGGGATCATGACCTGAGCTGAAGGCAGACACTTGACGACTGAGCCACCCAGGTGCCCCTCAGCTACATACAAAAAAAAAAAAAAAAAAAAAAAAAAAAAAAAAAAAAAAAAAAAAAAAATAAAAAAAAAAAATAGCAAAGGGGAGAAATTAAAGTATTATTAATTCAGGAAACTAGATATTAATTTTTTTTTCATTTTACAATAAAAAAATCCTAGGTTCAGAGAAATTAAGAAACTTGCTCAAGGTTATACAATAGCAACAAAACAACTGTTGAGTCCCTACCATGTGTCAGCATTGTGTTAGGCACTGGGGAGCCAGCAGTGAACAGAGTCAGCAAGAACTAGAGAAAGGATAACAGTCTAGTTCAGCTCAACCCCCAAGTCTGAACTTTTTCAGTAATATGTTGCTGAGACATGTGGGGTGATTCCTTTTTTTTTTTTTTTTTTTTTAAAGATTTCATTTATTATTTGACAGAGAGAGAGAGAGATAGAGAGAGAGCGCGCACAAGCAGGGGGAGTAGCAGAGGGAGAGGGAGAAGCTCTCGCTCTGCAGGGAGCCCGATGAAGGGCTTGATCCCAGGACCCAGGGATCATGACCTGAACCAAAGGCAGATGCTAAGCCAACTGAGCCACCCAGGCACCCCTACTGGGGTGATTCTTAAGGGGACCACTAGGGATTCCCAAGGGCTAAAGGTAGTAATTATGCGTGAGCCCACGTTAGGATGTCTGGATTGTTTTATTCTTTTAATCCTAAACATCAGAGTAGAATTTCAGAACATGTTGGTTCAGGGAATGAAGAGTAGAATGGAGCCAGAAACTTCTGTCCCTTCTGTTCATGGCTGAACATCTAGTGTCAGGCATGCAGTGAGTGCTCCATTAAGGTTTGCTGATGGATCAGTGAAGATCAAGGCCAATAATGGAGAGGAAGGTTCTTGCGCCTTAGATGGCACCAGATGGCTCTAGGTCTAATGGTTTTTGATCGACTTTTGGTTGTAGATATTTTGTTTGGACAAAGAAACAATTGTTCTGGCCCCCTATTCTGCAATGTTTGGACCCTCAGTTACGGTCACTGTGTATCAGCAGGCCTCTGTACTTAGTCCAGCACATCCATACCAGGGGGAGACACGGTTCCGTGGGCAGCAAGTCCTATTTCCTGGGATTCCTCTTCTCTCCTTCCCCTTGTTGGGTTGAACGTTTTTATATGATTGGAAATCAGATCACAGGAGAGTCAGTTTTGAAAAGATGGTACAGGGTGCTTTATGCCAGAAGGAAATGGCGGAAGGCAGGAACCCTCTTACTGTTTGCCTTGTGTATTACAGGGGTTACATGTAAACTGACTGCATAAATACGAGCCGCCAGTAACTTCTTAGAACTAGCATGTCTAGTCACATCTCTTTAAATTCTGCACCCGAGTAGGCTTGGCTGCAGCACTGGTGTCGGCGCGGTCATTTCGGGATCAGCTCCTCTCCAAACAAAACAAAATCCATGATCTTCAAGGTTTATCTTTTTGAAGAATCCGCAGATGGAGAAAAGGAACTATACGGAGTATCCTTGCACAATATATAAGTCTGAGAGTTCACAGGTTCTGCCTTGTTCCATTCTTTATCTCGACATAATCTTTACTTTAGGGCCAGCAAAGCTTCCCAGACTCCCTGTCTAGACCTCAATCCCAGACGCCCAGACTGCCTTCCTGCGGGCATGGGTTGCAAGTGTGAAAGGCAGAAATGAAAATCCAAAAGAAACATAGTTTAATGTAGTACTATATTTTGAATTCGATTTTTTAGACTTCTTCAGTGGTTTTCCTTCCTTTAAAAAAATGTTCATTTTTCTGATTATAAAAATAATGAAGGGTCCTTGTAAGTAATTATGGAATACCAAAAAATATAAAGCAAAAAAGTGATACATAATCTTACTACTCAGACATAAACTCTGGGTACTTCCTTCAAGACTTTTTCTAAACATCTTTTTATTTTATGCTGTCGATATGTAAAAAATATATATAATATATAAATATTATAGTATGGATATTCTGCCTTTTTGAAAAAAGCAAGCATTTTATTTACTTACCTCCACTTTATGTCTTTTTTCTCTCTCTGCTAGAAGTTCAGCCCTTCTTTTAGAAATCATATCATCCTGTCATAGAAAGAGACATTTAAACATTTTAATGGATAATGATGAAATTACTTTTTATGTATTAGTAAATATATTTTTTCCCAAAGTGGGAATAGCATTTGGAGGGAAGGATGGTAAACTTTCCAGAAAATCTCGTGATGGTGGTACTTATGCTACTACATCCTGTACTTCTGGAACTTCTCATTAGCTATTTCCTTCCAGAGGATAAACAGCACATGGGGGCAGCCATTCTTTCTACAAACATTAGAACACCTTTTTGAATTTATTATTTATTTGTTTGCCTTGGTAAAGAGGTAGATTATGTACATGGAGAAATAGGGAAGCACTTGGAAACAATTTGTTGAAATTAGTAATCTTTTATCATACTAATACAATACAGCCTAACAACCTATTAAATAATTTAAGTCATAATATCTCTCAGAGCTGGAGTTAATTGATTAGCTTATTTATTGACAAATAGCTCAATGTTCCAATCTTGGTTTTGTTCTTTTGTTTTGTGTCGTTTTTGGAAACTCTCACTAGTAACGAAATACATCTCCCTGTACCTTCCTCCTACCAACAGTAGTTCATTCCCTGTGGCCATTCGGAACACTACAAGCTCCCTTCAGCATGAAAGCCCTTCACATTCTTTAATGCTGCTCTCATGTCCCATCTTTGCCTTCCTAGTTACAGATTTGAAAGCCTCAATCTTTTTGCCCTAGTCTAGATCTACAGATTTGCCCTTTCAGGACATATCTTATAAATGGAGCAAAACACATAGTGTGCACTATTTTTTTTTTTTTTTTGACTTGGCTTCTTCCATTAAGCATAATGATTTTCATCCATGTTGTAGAGTGTTATCAATAGTTTGTTCTTTTCAACTACTGAATAGTATCCATTTTATGGATATACCACACATTCATTCATTCATCCGGCTTTGTAAAATTGTAAGATATTTAAAGTATATCTTGTGACGGTTTGATATAGACATACATTGTGAAAGGACTCTTTCCACGCAATTAATGAACACATCCATCACCTCAATATTTACTTTTTTTTTTTTTTAGTGACAACATTTAAGTTCTATTCTCTTAGCAAATTTTGATTATACAGCATGATGATAATATCAACTATAGTCACCATGTTATACATTAGATCTTCAGATCTTATTCATTTTATAGCTGAAAGTTTGTACCCGTTACCACCTTCTCCCTGTTTCCCACACCCCGCAGTCCCTGGCAACCACTTTTCTACTCTCTGTTTCTATGAGTTTGAATTTGTTTTAGATTCCACATATAAATGATACCATTTACTATTTGTTTTTCCCTCTCTGGCTAATTTCACTAAACTTAATATCCTCAAGGTCCATCCATGTTGCAAATGGCAGGATTTCCTTCTTTCTCATTGTTGAATTATGTCCCACTAAACAGACAAATACAACATCTTTTTTATCCATTCATCCATTGACATGTTGCTTCCATATTTTGGCTATTGTAAATGCTACTGCAATGAACTTGAGGGTGCAGATATCTCCTCCATATCCTGTTTTCATTTCCTTTGGATACATACCCAGAAGTAGGATTGCTGGATCATATGGTAGTTCATATTTATACATTTTTTAGGAACTTCCACACTGTTTTCCTCCGTGGTTGCACCAGTTTGCATTCCCACCAACAGTGCAAAATGTCTCCTTTTCTCCACAGTCTAGCCAACATTTGTTATCCTTTGTCTTTTGATGACAGCCGTTCTAACAAGCGTAAAGTGACATCTTATTGTGGTTTTGATTTGCATTTCCCTGATGATTAGTGATACGGAGTACTTTTTCCATGTACCTCTTCTCCCTTTGTATGTCTTCTTTGGAAAAATGTCTATTCAGATCCTCTGAATTTTTTTCAGATTTTAATCTATTTTTTTAATTAGATTTTTTTTTTTTTTTTTTTTTGTTGCTATTGAGCTGTATAAGGTCTTCATATTTTGTGGGTTTTCCTTGATGGCTTCCTTTGTTGTGCGAAAGCCTTTTAGTTTGATGTAGTCCCCATTTGTTGACTTTCGCTTTTGACGTCAACTCTAAAAAAATAATTGCCAAGACCAATGTCAAGGAGCTTACCCCCTGTTTTCTTTTAGAAGTTTTATGGTTTCAGGTCTTTTTTTTTTTTTTTTTAAAGATTTTATTTATTTGACACACACAGAGAGAAATCACAAGCAGGCAGAGAGGCAGGCAGAGAGAGAGAGGAGGAAACAGGCTCCCTGCTCAGCAGAGAGCCCGATGTGGGGCTCAATCCCAGGACCCTGAGATCATGACCTGAGCCGAAGGCAGAGGCTTTAACCCACTGAGCCACCCAGGCACCCCTGGTTTCAGGTCTTATGTTCAAGTCTTTAATCCATTTTGAGTTGATTTTTATGGATAGTACACAATAAGGTACCCAGTTTCATTTCTTTTGCATGTAGCAGTCCAGTTCTCCCAGCATCTACTGAAGAGATTATCTGTCCTCCATCATATATCTTTGACTTCTTTCTTATAAATTAATTGACAGTATAGCCATAGGGTTATTTCCGGGCTCTCTGTTCTGTTCCATTGATCTATGTGTCTAGTCTGCTATTGAACATCTCTACTGAATTTTTCAGTTCAGTTACTGTGTTCTTCAGCTCTGTGATTTCTGTTTGATACTTTCTTATATTTTCTCTCTCTTTCTTGAAATTCTTACTTTGTTCATGCATTGTGCTCCTGACACTGTGAGCATCTTATGAACATTATTTTGAACTCTTTGTCAGGTAAATCACTTATCTTTGTTTCAGTAAGCTCTATTTCCTCTTTTCTTTCTTCATTTTCTTTGACTCTGTGTTAGTTTCTGCTCATTAAGTAAAGAAGCCACAACTCCTAGTCTTCACAGAGTGGTTTTGTGTAGGAGATGAAACTTATCAATCAGCTTGGACTGAGTTCTTGGCTGTCTCTCAAACCTTCGTGATTGTTTAAGCTACTTTCTTTGTTCTCAGTGGCTCCCAGTCATTGAGCATGTGCCACAACCTGTCACTGTCCTAAAGGGGAGGATCACACACTGGATAGATGGATTGGAAGCTGGACTCTCGGGTAGCAACTTTTTTGATGTAGGTGATACGGGTATTTTCTAATTTGTCAGATATGTATGAGTTGCTCAGCTAATTTCTGGATTTCTTTCAGCGGGAATTGCTTCATGTAGCTGTGTGTGTGGGAGGAGATGAAATCAAGAGGCTCTTATAACACCATCTTGGGTGGGATCCCAGGATATACTATCTACCACATTTCATCTATCCATTCATCAGCTGTGGCTATTGGGTGTTTTTCCCTTTTTGGCTGTTATGAATAATGCTGTTATGAACATTTGTATATAAATCTTTGTGTGGACCTGTTTTCATTTCTGTTGGATAAGTTCCTAGAATTGGAATTGCTGGATTCCCTATGACACTTTTGAACATTTTATGTAATACACCTCCGATTTCAGTTTTAGAAAAGATGTCCTAAACTATTATCTAGATCTTGATGGATGGCATCGTCATTCCAGGAACTAGTGAAAAAGCCACTGAAAAGTTTAAGTCTTATGTTGCCCCTCCCACTTTGGTCCTATGTCTGATACAGGGATATGTTAGTGCTGCCACTGTCTTTAATTTTATTTGCCTAGGACAGAAAAGCATTAACATATTGCAAATCACAGAGGCCTCAAATAATTTTTAACTATTTAATTATAAATAGTATTAATATTTGATTAAAAGTGTTTTCATATTGACTGTGGTATTAAAATCAGAAAACTACATTTTTGTGAAGACCATTATAATTTGAATAGATGCTGAACAAATTTATTCCCATATATTTTTACTGGATACATACCTTGATTTTTGCCTTCAGTTCTTTGATGAGATTTTTCCGTTCTAATTTTTTCTTTTGTTTCTCTTTCCACTTTTCGATTTGGGAAGGAAGGAGTCGATTAGAAATATCTTGATCATCAACTTGTATAAAAACAGCAGCATCTGGGAAAAATCCACGTTCTCCCAGAAACAGAGCCTCCTCAGGATACCGTGGGAATCCATCTAATATAAAACCTGTGGAACTTGATAGAAATTTCATAATTTATTTGCTTAAAATATTATATTACAAATATTGATTTAAAATGAAAAAATATTAATAAATCACAACTTTATATAAGATGTGCAATAAATAGTTTCAAAAGTTTATTGTGGTATCTTTTATTTCTTGTGATATTTCTACTTGTGTAAACATGGTGTGTCTTCTCCCAAATGTGTTGAATTTATTTAAAATGTTAATATTTTATATTTATGCTTATATTATAGATAAGTTCTTTTAAATTTAGTCTTAATATTTGATGAAAAGTTAAGAGAAAGTAAGTTCTCTGCTTGGGAGGAATGCCCTGCCTAATGACTTCACCCTTAGGTAAAGGTGGCTTTGGCCAGCCCAGCTCTTGTGGGAATCCACTTTGTGTAGTTTTTCTTCTAGTGATATTTCCTTTCATGAGACAGTTTGTACCCCCTTCCCTGGGTCCCCTTATGATCAATGATAATTACTAATGTATGCATATGGCTTATATGTATAAGATGACTATGTTCAAATAGAATTGTAAAACTTGCCCAGGTATGAAGAAACTATAAGGATCAGAAAAATAACTGGAATGTGACTACATTTTTATCATTAAACAATCAGGCATTAAGAACTTGGTTTTATTTATTTCAAAGAGTCAATATTGGTTCCCTTTTGAATGAGAATATATCCTGTTTATCTAAAATTTGGCTTGTTTTTGGTATTTATATTTAAACATGTTTTCTTCCTCATGGGACTTTTATGAACATTTCACAGTTTGAGTCCTTCTCTGACATTTTAAAATATTTCTTATAGTATTAAGTGGGCAAATTTTTATATTTTGGCTGTAAGATGTACGCCTTTTTCTTTAGAGATGCCTTCAGCATTGTCTCGTCATTGAAGAACAATTTCATGCCTACTGTTCCAGCTGTCCCTTCTTTGTCAATGCCTTCTAAATCTCTACCTCCATACCCAACTTCTCTTTTCAGTTTCATTTCAGAGTTTTCAAAAAGCTGCTTAATTTATTCATTGAAGTGACCTTCAAGAATTATATACACATCACACTGTCAGAAATTAGACTCACTGTTACCCTTTCATACTGCTCTTGCTTCTGACTCACTGGTATTCAGGTGTCAAACTTCAGAGACACTTGGACTGGCCCCCAACCCCCTCTTGCTTCACACATATAAGAGCTAAACCCTGGCATGTCCTCTTCTATACCCATTTCTATCATTTCTATTTTCATTTCTACCATTACACTTTAGTTCACCTTATATCTTATAATATCTATTTATATAGATACAGATATCGTATTATCTCTCTCCAGGACTCATGCAATAGCCCTTTAAAAATGTGTTGATTTTTCCCCCCTGATTATAAAAGAAATAAATCTTACTTTAGAAAAATTGGGAAATAGAGAAAAAATGAAAAAGGGCAATATTATCCATAATTTCACATCCTAGAGATTACTGACATTTTGTTTCATTTCTTTCCAGCTTGTTCCTCATGTGTCATCTTGCTATTATAAATAACTTTGTCTTTTTAAACTTAATGTTATATAATAACATTGCTCATGCTATTACAAATTCTTCATTTTAAAACATTTTAATGGTTGCATAATACTTAACTATTTTATTTAGACTTTTTACAATTTCACTTTTTTAACTTTTTTTTTTCTTTAGAGAGAGAGAGAGAGAGAGAGAGAGAGAACAAGGAGAGGGAGAAACAGACTCCCCGCTGAGCAGGGAGCCTGATGCTGGGTTCTATCCCATGAGACCATGACCTGAGCTGAAGGCAGATACCCAATCGACTGAGACACCCAGGTATCCCTCACTGTTTTACTTTTAATTATTCAACTCATATGCTTTTTAAAAAAAAGTTAATGTATGGTGTGAGGTCAGGAGCTAAATTAATGAAGAATAACCCATGAATGACTACATTGGTTTTTTTATTGTTGTTTTGTTTTTTTAAAGATTTATTTATTTATTTGAGAAAGAGAGAGCATGAGCAGGGGAAGGGGCAGAAGGAAAGGGACAAGCAGACTCCATGCTAAGCCCCAAGCCTGAAGAAAGGCTTAATCCCATGATACCAAGATCATGACCTGAGCTGAAATCAAGAGTCAGATGCTTAAGAGAGGGAGCCACCCAGAAGGCCTGCGTGACTACATTGTTGCAGTCGACCTGCCTGAGTTTACCACAACTAACGAGCCAATTTAAGCAACAGGAAGTTAAAATTAAAGTTGGTGGCCAATAACCTCACTCAGTCGTTTGGGCCATGGACTAGGTAAAAGACTGCCCAGAGGAGCACTGGGACTGGCCAGTTACCTGAATTCTCGATAATATAGTTCCTTCATCTCCAAAGTGAGATAATAAAAGTTTCTATTCCACTGGGTAGTTGTAAGAATCAAGTAAGCTAATGTGAATAAAATATAGTAGAACAGTATCCGGCACGCAGGAAGTTCCATATAAGCATTGCTATTATTGATACTATAATAAGTATCATTTCTCTTTTCTTCTGACAGATACCAAAGCAAACATTCTGATTAGGAAATTACAATGAAGTTTTAAATTCTGATGTCATGGAGATTCTTAAATTTGTCCTGTCTGAGGTCAAGCTTGTTCCTGGATTTTAAGAAAGGGATAACGCTGTGGACAGTTATTAAGTGGTCTTAACTGTAATTATTGAAAGACTCCAAGGAAAAAAGTCCAGCCCACCATCAGTGTACATGGATTTAGAATATGGATAGTCAACCATGACGACACAGTAGAATCATCTGGGGCACTCTCAAAAATACAAATGCCTGGGTCTCAATCTCACACTGCTAAAAATTTTGATTCAGTTCTTTTGGGGGAGGAGGGCCCCTGGCATCAGTATTTTTAAATTAATTCCTCAAATGTTCATAATGTGTAGAATCACTAGTTTATAAGTAAAAGAAAAATATTAAATTTATGCTGGATTACATTTTTAACTTAAGAATAAAACAAATAGGGCGCCTGGGTGGCTCAGTGGGTTAAGCCACTGCCTTCGGCTCAGGTCATGATCCCAGGGTCCTGGGATCGAGTCCCACATCGGGCTCTCTGCTCAGCAGGGAGCCTGCTTCCCTTCCTCTCTCTCTGCCTGCCTCTCTGCCTACTTGTGATCTCTGTCTGTCAAATAAATAAATAAAATTAAAAAAAAAAAGAATAAAACAAATAAAAGTCAACAATTGTATAATTCTATAAAAAATTAGATACCGTATTGGTTCCCTAAGCCACCACTCAGAAAGAATTGTTTCAAGAATTTCAGGAGGTAATGGCTCATTTTCCGTTAGATTTAATTTGATTGCTTCTTCTTCTTCTGTAAATTGTACATCTGTAGGCTAAAAACAAAAATCAGAAAACAAAAAAAATTCAAAAATTCTGTATTAATAAATAATAGTCTATTACATAGTTGATTAGGACAAGAACTTCTTGGTTATTTTTAATACGGCTGCTTGTTAACATTTTAAAACTTAAACTTTTTTCTTTAAATCAGTATTTAATATAGTTTAAAATATTAAGTTACATATTGTAGCTAAGAGCAGTTACTAGAGATTAGCATGACTGATTTTCAAACATGGACTCAGGATATCTGTCTCTTCACTTTTTTTGTTCAATTTATATCACACACACATGAAGCTTAACTAATTTTTTTCATTTATCTTATAATTCTTCAACCTAGATCCTAATTAAAGGATGGGCCAGCCAGGCAGTCATCTGGAATATAATGTTACATCTGGGTCTATTTACAAGGGATCATTTGAGAAGGAAAGGGTCGGGTCTTACTATATCAGAAATGGTTAAAAATGAGTTAGAATTAAGAACTTTCTCTTTACAATCCCAGAAAGAAACCATCGAAGAGTATATAAAATGTCTTACAATGCATCATTAGAAATTAATATATTGAGATCTCTGCTGGTGCTGGGACAGATTTTTATGGTATTTGATTAAAAAAAACCAGAGAACAAAATTAAGGAAGACCTTATAGTCTACATCAGACATATCAAATAGCAGAGTCCCAGATAAATGTTGTGTGACAGTCTTGTCAGGCAAAGCTATTCAGATTTTTTTTTATATATTTTTTTTAAAGATTTTTATTTATTTATTTGACAGAGAGATCACAAGCAGGCAGAGAGGCAGGCAGAGAGAGAGGAGGAAGCAGGCTTCCTGCTGAGCAGAGAGCCCGATGCGGGGCTCGATCCCAGGACTCTAAGATCATGACCTGAGCCGAAGGCAGCGGCTCAACCCACTGAGCCACCCAGGCGCCCCAGCTATTCAGATTTTTCTTGGAGTCATGTAAAACTTAGCATTTTGTATTCTAGATGAGCAGTTAGATATGTATTTACCATATGGGGAGGATGACATATGGGGGCTAATTTTTTTTCTTCCTCCTAGAAACTTTAGTTTTATACTTCTTATATCCTACTTCCCAAAAGTAATACCAGTAAGCATAATTATTTGCAAAGAGAGTATTAATGTTACTACCAGCTTCTTTGTATTTTCTTCTTCAATCTTGACATTGGCCTGAATTGCAAGTTCTTCAAGTTCTTGTTTTGCAAACCGTTCTTCATCAGAATCTTCCTCAAATTCAGTTCCAATTTTCTTTTCGGTTTTGAGCATTAGTTTCTCTTGAAGAAATTCTTCAAACTGAATGTGGAAAATGCCCCATTTTTCCGCTAACTGTCTTCCGCAGACAGTTTTGCCAGAACCATGGGGGCCAATAAGGCATATTCTTATTGGAGGAGCCTGCCACAGGGGGTGGATTGGGGAGAGGTAGGGTAGGAGGAGAGTGAAGACAAGGAAGTTTTGAGTAATTTAGAAAACATAAGGCTTATTAGTTGTTCTCCCTAAAACTGAATTATCCCTTCACAACACCAATAGTGTCAGAAGGGACAACCATACACATATTTCAGTAGTCCTCTGGGGCACCATATAAAAATTGAAGTTCATGAAAATAGCCCAAATTATTCAGAAGCATTTAAATTGTGTTCTATATGTTCTGTTTAAGAAAGCTTTGGAATTAGGGGCACTGGTTGGCTCAGTCAGTAGGACATGCAACCCTTGATCTCAGGGTTGTGAGTTCAAGCCCCACATTGGGTGTGGACCCTACTTCATTGGGGAAAAAAAAAAAAAGAAAGCATTGGTGTTCTCAAAAGTGTAAGTGACTATGTATTGTGATTAGTTTATTTTGATCTTGTAATCCCATGCTCAGGAATTATACTAATAAAAGAATTCAAGAGAAACAAAGAATGACATGCCCGAAGATTTCCTAAGTATTATATCATATCCACAATGACAATGATCCCCAATGAAAATACTGTGAAAAATGTATAACAATTAGATGTTAAAATGGTTTATGAAACTGTTGGAGCATCAGAGGACTATGTAGAAAAATATAAGCTTTCATTGATAAATGTTAAGTGAAAAAGCAGATTATAAAATATTACGTACCCTGGAAAGAATATACACCCATGTGGAAGAGGGTGAAAGTAAAATTTAAAAAATGAAGGTTTTTGTCTAAAACTGGTGCAATTATGTGTGTACTTTATTTTTAAAATGGATAAAATATTACCACAATGTGTTCTTTTATTATGGTATTAAAATACACATAACATAAAATTTACCATTTTAACCATCTTTTCAGTTTAAATTCAAATATTTTATTGAGATGGTATACTTAAATACCATAAAATGCACCCTTTTAACATATATAATTCAATAGTTTTGAGTATATTCATTTTAGCCATTTTTAAGTGTATAAATCAGTGGCATTAAGTACATTCACAATGTTGTACAACCATCACCACTATCTGTTTCCAAAACTTTTTCATCATCCCACACTGAAATTCTGTACCCATTAAACAATAACTCCATTCTCTTCCCACCTCCCGTCCCCCTTACCCCTCGCCAGCTGCTAGTGATCATTATTCTATTTTCTGTGCCTATGAAATTGCCCACTTAACCCAGCTGGCTCTTAAGGTAGCAAGCAATAAATGCAGCTGTCTCTTTTTACTTCAGCTAAAAAGACAGTATGTGTTGGTTTGACACAAGTCATTACTGCCAAAATCAAAAAAAGCTAATTATCTTATTTATTTTTCAAGAAGTTGTTCTTGGAACTTAGATATTTTCGCCATGTTGTTATATCAGATTGGGGACTTCACTATTAAGTAAAACGATGAAGGTTGGCAGTAAGTCCTTGAAAAAGCACTCAGAAGCAATCATTAGGACTGGGTAGTCATATTGTTTTCACCTTTAATGGTTCTTTATGAGCCACATACTCCTCAGGATGCTCCAGAAACTTCTCTTTAGCCTCAGGACTTGAAAAGTAGTAGATCTTTTCTCGATATTTAGCTGCTTCTTCTGTGCTGCCTGGTTGTAGGATGAAGTTTTCTTTGAGAAACACAGGACAAAAGTGCTTTGTATCTCCCAAGTGCCTTCTCTTCTCTTTAATTCTATCTTCATTCTACAAATATTATTCAGTGTGGAGAATAGTATTAAAAACATTTTGATGAAAGACTAAAAATTAAGTAAAAATAAATTAAAATAATGCATCTTGAATAATATTGAGGCTATAACATGCCTTTTCCCCACATTTTTTAATTTATTTCTTTTCAGCGTAACAGAATTCATTGTTTATGCGCCACACCCAGTGTTCCATGCAATACGTGCCCTCCATAATACCCACCACCACCTTAAACAATCCACAAAAGGTCAGTTCTTGTACTAATTAATTAAAACATCAGTTTCTCATATCCCTCTGAGTTCACATCTTGAATAATGTCTACTCCATAACAGTATGTCTTTAAAACACTCAACAATTTTATGTGTACCCTTCCAGACCCTTTTTTCAAAGTATATCCAACCAATATAAATATCAATGGGATAATATTTTACAAGACTATTCAACAAGAAACCTCTTTTTTCCCTCCAAAACACGATATAATGAACAACTTTCTATAAAGGTACAAAAATGAAACTAATCTATAATTTTCTTACACCATTTTTGTTGAATTTTTATATAAGAGCTATGCAAGTTCCAAAATGAGCTAGGAAGTATTGCTCTTTTTCTATGATTTAGAAGATTTTTTCTTTAAGATTTTATTTATTTATTTAGAGTGGGAGTCGGGGATGGGACAGAAGGAGAGGGAGAAAGAGAATCCCAAGCGGACTCTGTTCTGAGCACCATGTGATGGGGGCCTCAGTCTCACAACCCTGAGATTATGAGCTGAGCTGAAATCAAGAGTCTGACACTTAATGAACTGAGCCACCCAGATGCCCCTCTGATATGAAAATTTTAAGCAACATAAGAATTAGCGAATCAACTAAGGTAGATTAGTAGTGATTTGTAATTCCCCTCTGTCTTTTTTGTTTGTTCAGATTTTATAGTTTTTCCTAGGTAAATCTCAGTAATTCATATTTTGAATATCCTTTTTATCTTGGCTTTAAAACTTATTAGTATAAAGTTCCTATAATTTAAAACAACCTGTTTTTAAAATTTGATTGTATACTCATTTTTTTCAAATATTATTTGCTTTTTCTTTTTATCTAATTAGATTTGTTAGAAGTTTGCCTATTTTATTACACTTGCCAGTGGACTGACTTTTCATTTTTTAAAATTAGGTCTACTCCAAAATCAGAGGGGGAGATGAACCACGAGAGACTATGAACTCTGAGAAGCAAACTGAGGGTTTTGGAGGGGAGGGGGGGTGGGGGGTTGGGAGGGCTGATGGTGTGTATTAAGGAGGGCATGTATTGCATGGAGCACTGGGTGTGGTGCATAAACAATGAACCTTGGAACACTGAAAAAATAAAATAAAATTTAAAAAACATAAAAATAAAAAATAAAATTAGGTCTACTGTTTTTGTCTTCTTTTCCTATTTTGTTAATTTTTGCCTTTACTTTTGTTTCTACATTCTTTTGGTTTATTTTGTTGTGCTTTCTCCCCAGATTCTGGAGTTGAATGCTTAATTAATTTTCCCTGCTAATAAGTCCACCTCGGGTAGGGTTGCCAGACTTAAAAAATAAGAATGTGGGTTCCAGTTATATTTGCATTTCAGATAATGAATAATTTTTTTAGTATAAACTTGTACTACACATAGAAATTATTCTTTTATCTGAAATTCAAATATACCTGGGTATCATGTTTTTTAAAATCTGGCAACTATAATTTCTACTTCTGCCATACTATAAAGCATTTATATGTGATTTTTTTTTTGAAGGGCTAGAAAACAATATATTTTTTTAATTTTGAAGCTGAAATGTTTAACCTATCAAAATTAAGGATTTTGTTAAAGCTGAAATAAGGTCATGTGACATTTAAAATTGTGTTGAATTCTCAAACCTTTGTTCTCATTTATATGACTTTTTGAAATGCATTCAATTTTAAAATGCAATTTATTTTAAATTTTTAAAAAATTTTAAATATTTTATTTATTTGAGAGAGAGAGCATGCACAAGCAGAGGGGAGGGGCAGAAGAAGAGGGAGAAACAGTCTCCCCGCTGAGCAGGGAGCCTGATGACCACATCATCATAAACCCTGAAATTATGACCTGAGTGGAAGTCAGACGCTTAACTGACTGAGCTACTCAGGTGCCCAAAATGCAACTTTTTAAAAAAGCATTGTGGAATTCACAGTAAAAATATATACTCTCAAACAATACTGAAAGTATAAGTTCTGACCTTTGTGAAAATCAGTATAATTTTTTTTCATGAGAATTTTATTTTTTTTACTTAAAGCATTTTTTAAACAATGTATGTATGTATTTCTTATTTATTTATTTATTTATTTGAATTCTAGTATAATTAACATGCAGTTTGATATTAGTTTCAAGTATACAATATAATGATTCAACAATTTTCTGTTTCTCAGTGCTCATCAAGGTAAGTGCCCTCTTAATCTCCTTCAGTTATTTCTTCCATACCCCCACCCACCAGTTTGTTCTCTGTATTTAAGTCTGTTTTCTTTGTTCATCTTTTTTTTTTGTCTTTGTTTATTTGTTTCTTAAGTTCCACATATGAATGAAATCATATGGCATTTTCTTGCTGTGGCTGACTTATTTCACTTAGCATTATATCCTCTAGCTCCATCCGTGTCGTTGCAAATGGCAAGAATTCATTCTTTTTTATGGCTGAATAATATTCGTGTGTGTGTGTGTGTGTGTGTGTGTGTGTGTGTATGTACCACTCCTTTTCCATTCATCTATAAATGGACACTTGTAAGTTTTCACTTCCCTGAATCTCCAGGGCCCCTGCTTTTCTCCCTCCCTGCTCCCTAAACAATTTTTCCTCTAAAACTTCCACTTACCTCTGTCCAAATCAGACTTCAGTTCACACTGGACTCTTTTCCCTATTAACGAAAACCTGTCCTTACCATTTTAGTGCCCAGTTTTGCTTATCTTTAACAGTGTAAAGTATCTTTTTTGTTGTTGTTTTAATTCACTTTTCCTTGAATTATAGTTTCACTGATATTCAGAATGCTGTTTCTTCTTTTTAATTAGTATTTGCTTTTTATATCTCAATCTGAGTTCTTTTGTTTTTTCAGTTGTTTAATGGCTTTTGTTGGTTGACTCCAGTTTTTCCTTATAATAGGTGGATTTATAATCATCCCTAAATAAATTTTAGAAACAGAATGTGGGGTATGTGTGTAGAGGCGATGGGGTGAGGGTGGAGGTATCTTAGAACAAGGGATTCGGGGAAAATGGTCATCTGAAGATACCCCCTTCCTCTCTCTCCACTTTCTTAGTCTTAACTGCTGGGGCAGGCTGCTGGAATCCATCAGCATCTGTGGGAAGGAAACTGTATGGCATTATTTACCACTATGGGCTAGATGAGTGCCTGGAGACAAACATCAGAGAGAACAGACTATTAAGATGTCAAGTCCTAGGAGGAATTTTTTTGCAGGGATCTCTGGATTTCCTGGAGAATGTTAGCATCAGCAACTACCAGGGAAATGCTTGTGGTCTCTCTGGCCCACAAAAGATCAAGAAGGAGCTATATGGGTGGGAAGAGTTCTCCCCAACCCTGCATCTGGGCAAGTATGAGAAATCCTATCCAGACTTGTCTTAGGCCTCAGCAACGAATATATACCTTATCTACCTCCATATTCCTAACCTACAGGGAGAGACCACTTGCCTCTTTTAATTCTTGAGAATGTTGTCACCTAAAACACTCCAGCAATAATCCTGAACCCCACTGAGAAAAAAAAGAAAAAAGAAAGCCATTACCCATGTAAGGGAGTCTAGCCAACTAAACGATCAGTCAGATCAAATAGATCAACAGAGATGGACAGAACCCAATCTCAGGGTAGGAAAATAATGAAGACATTAATAGAAATTCAAATAAACACTAGAAAGAGTTTACAAGCACCAATAAAGTATGTAAATGAGCCTAAGAAGAGAGTGACCACTTGTGGTAGAATTATGGTCCCTCAAAGATTCCCAGGACCTGTGAGTGGGTTACCTTGTGTGTGTGATTAAGGATGTTGAGATGGAAAGCTCATCCAGGCAGACCCAGTGTAATTAAAGGGCCCTTAAGAGGGAGGCAAGAAGGTCAAAGGCAGAAGATGAGATGATGGAGAGCAAAGGTTGAAGTAATGTGCTTTGAAGATGGAGGAAGAGGCCGTATACCAGAGAATGCAGGTGGCCTCCAGAAGCTGGAAATGACAGGAAAATTTTCTCCTCTTGCAGAAGGAACTTAGCTAATACTGATTTCAGCCCTTGTAAGATTCATTTTAGAGAACCGACCTTGAGAATTGTATGATAATTGGGTTGTTTTAAGCCACTAACTTTGTGGTAATTTGTTACAATAGCAATAGGACTCCAATGAATGTCTAAAATGAGAAGACTGAATGGAAGACATGTCTACAAATATCTGAACAAAAAAATAAAGAAATGGAGAATTTGAGGGAAAAGATAAAGATATTTGGAGAATAGATCCAAGAGACCTAATTAGTATCAGGTATTATGGAAGCAAAAAAGGAAGAGATGGAGAAGAGGCCAGAATTAATTTCTCACAGATAAAGAAAAACATCACATACAGATTTAAGGGCACCCCAAGTATAGGAAAGTTTGATGAGAAAAGACAAGCACTTGGACATATCTTGGTATGATTCCTGAATTCTGGAGTGGTATTAGAACTCTTGTTTCTTTCTTTCTTTTTTTTTTTTTTTTAAGATTTTATTTATTTATTTGACAGAGAGTGAGTAGGCAGAGAGGTAGGCAGAGAGAGAGAGGGGGAAGCAAGCTCCCTGAGGAGCGGAGAGCCCGATGTGGGGGCTCGATCCCAGGACCTGAGATCATGAGCGGAAAGCAGAGCCTTAACCCACTGAGCCACCCAGGCGCCCCTAGAACTCTTGTTTCTTTTTGTATTTTCTGTTTGGCAAAAGGGAAATATCTTTGTTGTTGATTTTTCCTATTGTAAAAACCGATACATTTCTAATGTTAAAAAATCAGATAATATAGGCAAGCACTTAAAAAATAAAAATTACTGTAAGTCCATCACTGAGAGACAACCACCATTAACATGTTTAACAGGTTGAGTGAGGTATGACTGGCATTAAAATAGTGTACATATTTACAGTATAAAATTGGATAATTTGTGACAGAAGTATTCATTTGTGAATTCACCGCAACCAAGATAATGAACGTATGCACAAATACCAAAAATTTGCTCACACATCTTTGTAAAATCTCTCCTTCCTGCTACTATTTGCCTCCTTCCTGCCCCATCCCCAGGCAACCACCACTCTGTTTTCTAGCACTAAACTAGTTTGCATTTTCTAAATTTTTATATAAATGGGATCATACAAGATATATTCTTTTTTGCCTGGCTTCTTTCTCTTAGCATAATTATCTTCAGATTCATCCAGGTTATTGCATGATGATTAGAAGTTTGTGAATTTCAGTCCCACCCTCAGCCCTCCAAGATGGGGTCAGGGAGAGGGGCTGGAAGTTGAATCAGCCAATGTCCAACGACTTAGTCAACCATGACTGTGTGATGGAGCCTCCCTAAAAACCTAAGAGGACAGCTTTTTGGGCTTTTCTTTTAGAAGAGCTTCCATGTGCCACAAAGCAGGGCCCCAAGCTCCACAAAGACTGAAGTTTCTTTGTCCAGGACCTTGTCTTATGTATGGCTTTATCTGGCTGTTAATTAGCATTATTTATTATATCCTTTAATAAACCAGTAAATGTATGTAAATGTTTTCCTGAATTCTGTGTGCTATTTTAGCAAATTAATTGAACTGAAAGAGAAAGTTACTGGAATCCCTAATCTGTAGCCCATTGGTCAGAAGCACAGGAAACAACCTGGGGCTGAGGTGGGGGTTGGGGGAGAAGTCCTTTAGGACTGAACCCTTAACCTGTGGAATCTGATGCTATCTCCAGGTGGATGGCATCAGAATTGAGCTGAATTCTCAGACACCCTGGTAGTGTCATCTTCTGGAACTGCTTGGTGTGTTTGGGGAGAACCTCCTCCCATGTTGGAACTGGGTCTGGGAAGCTCAAAAGAACTGATAAGGCCCCAAATTAAAAGAATCTGTTTTCATTTAATTACTGATAGATATTTAATTGGGTGGCTATCAAATGAGAATGGTTCTTAAAATTCTGGTGCTAAGGGAGTAGAGTAGGGTCTGAAAATGACCTGTTTCTTTTGCAAATACTTCTCCTTATTATCACGCAAGTGGCCTCCCAAGGCCATTGCTATCTGTGTCTTATGTGAAACACTCCCCTTAAATTTTGTCTCTAATACCTGTAGATATTTCCCATGGAAAAAAATTTAAAAGATTTCCCTTTTCTTTTTTCATGGGTGTAGTATGTTGTCTAAGAAGCCCTGGCATTTCAGGTGTCAAGTGAAGTTGGGTGGAGGCCAAGTGTGTTGAAAAATTTATAAAATAATTTATTTATAAAATTGAGGAAGCCTGCTTGTTTTCTTGGGGTCCAAAGTGCTAGTTACCACTCTGGATATACGCACTTTCAATGATGTGACCAATGTGAATGAGCAATAATAAAGAAGTCATACCTCTTCTTCCTCCTCCTCTTCCTCTTCTATCTCCTCATCAGCTTCAGCTTCTGCCTGATAGTCTTCTGTTTCTTCATCATAATCTTCCATAGTTAACTCCCATGCAACATACTGGAAGGGTCCTGTAAAAAAATTAATAAATACATAAAAAAGTAACTTTTGGGAAGATATTTTTAGGATAAAAGGATATTAGCATATTACAGTAGTCAAAGATTAGGAAGAGTGATTATAATGATTGATCTTAGTTGAAAGGTGTACACACACAGGTCTTCACAAATTCTTTAAGTGACAGCTGGCTGGGTTGGCCAGTGCTCTTTGGGCTCCGTGCTGTTCTGATTAACAGATTTAAATATTTGAAGTCTTGACCCTAAATATACTGGATGCTTTACTTCATAAACCATCAAGAAGGGCTTCAAACTTTCATGATGCTTTTAATGATATAGTAATATCTTGACAATAACTGTTAAGATTACAGCTCTTACTTTCCATAGTCTCCACTACTTTTTGAAGTAGTTCCTCTGGAGTTTTGTCAGCAATCTCCAAGTTTAAAATTTGAATGAATGACTCTTTGATTGTTCCTTCCAGTTGTTTCCATATATAGTTGAAATGTTTAATCTTCTCTTTAATTGGCTCCATTTCAGGAACATCAGGATAAGCATCTTCTGGAAACTCAGGGAGTACAACTTCTGAGGTAAAGGTTAGAGGAAAGAAAAAAGATTCTTAAAATATTGTATCTTTAGCCATATTGCCAAAATAATTTATACTTCATAGCATTTTAAAAACATTTGAAAGAAATATACTTCATTTTCTAGGTAATAATATAAATGCATAAATTCATGTTTTAATTTATGCTTTGTTTTTTGTATTGACTTAGATGAATTATTATCTACTAATAAGATAAAAATCATGGATAATTAATAAGAATTTTGTATGGCAACTTTAACTATTAGTAAAACGTATAAAATAAAATTTGGTGAAGAAGAGTACTAAACACTGGCTACATACTTTTAAAAAAAGATTATTTATTTATTTATTTGACAGAGAGAGAGAGAGAGAGATCACAAGTAGGCAGAGAGGCAGGCAGAGAGAGAAAGAGAAGGAAGCAGGCTCCTCACTGAGCAGAGAGCCCTATGTGGGACTCGATCCCAGGAGTCTGAGATTATGACCTGAGCCGAAGGCAGAGGCTTAACCCATTGAGCCACCCAGGCACCTGCTACATACATTTTTAATGTAATAGGCTAAATTAATTGCATATCAGCTGGCATACAGCATAGAAAGAAATAGGTAGGAAGTTGGTGCTATACTTAAAATAAGGGACTGGACCTTTCTAAAAGAATATGAAAAGTATTTTCACAGACTAACTATTTTTATAAGGTAACCTGTTTCAGATAATTCTTTAGTTTCCAGGCCATCTTTGGATCCTTTTGAAATTTCTGTTCCAACTGTGGTATCCTCAGCAGGCTCAACTACTTAAAAAAGAAATCTGATAGTTAGTGTTTGAATTTTAAAACATTATTGCTTTATGAAGTTTCTGGCACAAAGAAAATTTCAAAACACAGTTTAATTGTATATACTATGTCTAAGTGAAAATACAGTTTTCCTGTTAGGTAAAGTATGGCATTAAATATTTAATAATGTAGGGCAGAAAATGAAGAACATTTAACAACACATAAAAAGACATGGACCAAAATAATAATGGGCACATGGCATATATAAGTCTGACAGTTATCTATTGTTAAATATCACTCAAACTTCTGTTCACATGCCATCAGACTAGCAGTTCCTGATATTTCTTTTAATTTCTTAAATAGTCCTAAAGACCATTAAATGGCAAGGAAAGACAATGATATATCAAAGCCCCAGCTGTGGGCGTAAGTGTGGCAAAACTCAGGAGAATCTCCATAATATCACTGTTGAAGGTAGAGAGCAAACACTGTTTTCCTGGATGATGTAAGATTTGCTTCACATGCACATTCAGCATAGATGGTTTAGGGAAGGAAGAACTAATTATCTATCTTCTCACCCCATAGTTTTTTCTAGTTCTGAGACACAAATTTTGTGTAGACCAAATTTATATTTGTATAATATTATATGAAATATAATATACATTATATATCTATCTATAGAATACATCATTATACCAATCATAATAATTAAGTTATAGAATTAGTTATAATAGATTGCAATTATTATATTATAATTATAATTAATTATATTATTCTAATATCAGAATAATATTCTACTAGAGTATTCTAATGGAGTATTCTAAATAACAGAATTAGAATAGATTCTAATTAATTAGAATATTCAGATAAATAGAATTAGAATATTCTAATATTCTAATAATGTGATACTTAATTGTATTTACATATTCAGAATAATAATGTATAATATAATTAAATATAACAATATAGTTATATTAAATCATATTTACATATCTAGAATAATATTATTCTAATATTTTAGAAATATAATTATATGATATATAATTATATTTACAAATATAATTATATGATATATAATTATATTTACGTATATATATAAAACACTGTAACACTGGAAACTGTCTTCCAAGCTAACGTAGTAGCTGGGTCCTCTTTCTACAGAATTCTATAATTAAAACTCAAGAGAATAGGATGTAGAAGAAGACAAGCCTAGGGCTGCTCTGGTGGTGACATGTGTGATTGTTAGGTGCTCAATTATCTAAAGAAAAGCATTATAAATGATGGCAAAGACAAGAACACCAAGAATATACAGAGAATTCTAAATTGTCTTAATTTCTCTAATTACAATGCAAGTCAGAAATGATGAAGATTCAGCCACAGTCTAGAAGAGACAGACAAGATGAATACTTACTAAAACATCACCACTTGAACTAGGTCATTGCACATTAACTTGACCTTCAGGTCTATGTTGGAGAGTACCAGGCAAAACATTAAAGTGAAAGACATATATGGATACGTACGTGTGTTGGGGGAGTTGGGTGTGGTTCTTATAAATACTCTACCTACCCTTCCGGTTGCCCTACTCCACCTGTATGATCTGAAGTCATAAGCTTAATGACCTGAGCCACCCAGGAACCCCTAGGTGATTCTTTTTAAAAAATTTATATTAATTTAAATTCTAGTGTAGTTAACATACAGTGTAATATTAATTCCAAGGGAACAATATGGTGATTCGACATTTCCATCTATTACTAAGTGCTCATCAAGGTAATTGTGCTCTTTATCCCTTTCACCTATTTCCCCCACCTGCTTGCCCACCTCTCCTCTGGTAACCATTTGTTCTCTATAGTGAAGAGTCTGTCCTCTCTTTTTTTTTCTCCTTTGTTCATTTGTTTTATTTTTTAAATTCCACATATGTGTGAGATCATATGGTATTTGTCTTTTGACTGGTTTATTCTGTTTAGCATTATACCCTTTAGATCCAAATGGCAAAATTTCATTCTTTTTTTTTAACGGCTGAGTAATATTCCTGTGTGTGTGTGTGTGTGTGTGTGTGTGTGTGTGTATCACATCTTCTTTATTCATTCATGTATCAGTGGACACGTGGCTGCTTCCATAACCTGATTATTGTAAATAATGCTGCAATAAACATAGGGGTGCATGTATCCTTTCAGATTCGTGTTTTTGTAGTTTTTGGTAAATACCAAGTAGTGTGATTACTGGATCCTAGCATAGTTCTATTTTCAACTTTTTGAAGAAACTCCATAGTGTTTTCCACAGTGGCTGTGCCAGTTTGCATTCCCAAAAAAAGGGCAAGAGGTTTCCTTTTCCTCCACATCATAGCCAATGCTTGTTGTCTCTTGAGTTGTTGATTTTAGTCATTCTGACAGGTGTGAGGTGGTATCTCATTGTGGTTTTGGTTTGTATTTTCCTGAGGATGAGTGATGTTGAGCATCTTTTCATGTATCTTTTGGCCATCACAGACTTTGGTGATTTTGGTGCGGATCATTTACTGTATATACAGGAGTCCTCTCACCCACATTCTGCTTTCTGTGGTTTCAGTAAATTGCAGTCAGCCACAGTCCAGAAGCAGATGACAAGCTGTCAGAAGGTCAACAGTAGCCTCACGGTCACGCCACCATGCGTACATCACTCACCTCACTTCATCTCACCATGCTGGCACTTTATCATCTCACAGCATCCCAAGACGGGTGAGTACAGTACAATAAGTATTCTGAGAGAAAGAGACTACATTAATATCTTGATTTTGGACTTCCAGCCTTCCGAACTGTGAGAGAATAAATTTTTGCTGTTTGAAGCCACTAAGTTTGTGGTAATTTGTTAATGGCAACCCTAGGAAGCTAACACATTCCTCAGCAGTCTCGTTGAAACCACGCATTGGAGAGCAACGTGGAATTTAGTGAAAATTCAGCAAGGGAGCAATGAAGGGGACTTGCTGTCATCCATCCTGTAGCAGACCCTGTTGTGACTCACTCTTCTTCTTCCTTGCAGAGCCGGGCTTTTGTTCCAGTGTTTACCCTTCCCGTCAGGGCTGAGGGAGGGCGACCCCACCTCCAGCTCCAGGCATTTATCCTGATTGGTATAAGCCAAAGCTTGCTTCCTTTCTTTCTGATATCAGGGGATGGAATGTGACTATTGACTTTGAGAATGCTGAGATTTAGTTTAGCCTTATCTGGGGGTGGGGATCCTGAGCTCTGGCCTTTCTAGAAGTTACCTAAGGCTGACTGCTAGCCGGTGACGAAGTTGCTGAGGTATCAACGACTTGCAGACACCTTGCTAGGCGCTTTACATAAAATGTTTCTATCCCTGTAAAAACAATGTTTGGTAACTATTCCTAACCCAGGTTAATGGAGAACTTGAGGTGCAGAACAAATGACGTAAGGTGTCATATAGCAGCCAAGGTGAAGTTTAAAAAGGGTTAATGAGATCATATGGATTACCTGCACTTAGAGAAAGCTTCAAACTCCCTAAACCTCTGGCCTCCGCCTCGCTGTCCAATCTCATCTTGCCCTTCCCTTTTGCTCACTATGCTCTGGTCACACTCAATTTCTTCCTTGCCCATTGAGTTGTGCCCACCTCTGAGCCTTCACAGTGGAAAGATCTTTGTACAGCTCCTTTTCAGTCTTTCTGCCTTGCCTCACATATCATTTTCTCAGATGACACTCTTCCTTGGCCATAATGTTTACTCTTGCTTCTTCCTTCCAAATTACCCTGCTGGCCTCCAGCTTGCTCATTCACTCAACAAACATTTATTGAGCACCTACTAGATCCCAGGCTCTGCTTTAGTGTCTTCATATATATATATTTTTTTGCATTAAAATTTTTTTTAATTTTATTTTTTATAAACATATAATATATTTTTATCCCCAGGGGTACAGGTCTGTGAATCGCCAGGTTTACACACTTCACAGCACTCACCATAGCACATACCCTCCCCAATGTCCATAATCCCACCCCCCCCAAGCCCCCTCCCCCCATTAACCCTCAGTTTGTTTTGTGAGATTAAGAGTCACTTATGGTTTGTCTCCCTCCCGATCCCATCTTGTTTCATTTACTCTTCTCCTACCCCCTTAACCCCCCATGTTGCATCTCCTCTCCCTCATATCAGGGAGATCATATGATAGTTGTCTTTCTCCGATTGACTTATTTCGCTAAGCATGATACCCTCTAGTTCCACGCACGTCGTCGCAAAGGGCAAGATTTCATTTCTTTTGATGGCTGCATAGTATTCCATTGTGTATATATACCACATCTTCTTTATCCATTCGTCTGTTGATGGACATCTAGGTTCTTTCCATAGTTTGGCTATTGTAGACATTGCTGCTATAAACATTCGGGTGCACGTGCCCCTTCGGATCACTACGTTTGTATCTTTAGGGTAAATACCCAGCAGTGCAATTGCTGGGTCATAGGGTAGTTCTATTTTCAACATTTTGAGGAACCTCCATGCTGTTTTCCAGAGTGGTTGCACCAGCTCGCATTCCCACCAACAGTGTAGGAGGGTTCCCCTTTCTCCGCATCCTCGCCAGCATCTGTCATTTCCTGACTTGTTAATTTTAGCCATTCTGACTGGTGTGAGGTGGTATCTCATTGTGGTTTTGATTTGTATTTCCCTGATGCCAAGTGATGTGGAGCACTTTTTCATGTGTCTGTTGGCCATCTGGATGTCTTCTTTGCAGAAATGTCTGTTCATGTCCTCTGCCCATTTCTTGATTGGATTATTTGTTCTTTGGGTGTTGAGTTTGCTAAGTTCTTTATAGATTTTGGACACTAGCCCTTTATCCGATATGTCATTTGCAAATATCTTCTCCCATTCTGTCAGTTGTCTTTTGGTTTTGTTAACTGTTTCCTTTGCTGTGCAAAAGCTTTTGATCTTGATAAAATCCCAATAGTTCATTTTTGCCCTTGCTTCCTTTGCCTTTGGCGATGTTCCTAGGAAGATGTTGCTGCGGCTGAGGTCAAAGAGGTTGCTGCCTGTGTTCTCCTCAAGGATTTTGATGGAT